CATCTAAAAGTCAAATTGTGATCTCTTTTTGAGTGAAAATCATCTTGCCTTGATAGAAATTCCTTCAAAATAGCTTTATTTTTCACTCATTTTAAAAAAAAAGGATTCAAATAATAATTTAGTTTGCTCGACAGGTAATAATAATAATAATCCTTGCGTTTGATAGAGCGCCTTATGACGTTTTTGAGACGTCTCAAAGCGCTTCACAGAATATACTGTAAAGTGAATTGACTGTATATTTTGTGGGCGAAACGAGGGATATGATCGCGCACAGCAGTGTCCCACAAACAGTCGTGGATTGAGTGACCACATTTTAAAAAAATATTTTTGACCACTATAAAGGAAGATGATCTGATCTGTGCTGGTTACAAAGCTCCATCTTTAATCTGAATCCCAGCTGGTAGTAATCTGGAGTTCTGAACTTTCTGCGCTTTCTGAGCTTGATCATTTTTATTCCCCCCCCACCCCCCCCCCAGAGGCATTGGGGGGGATTCTAAATATGAAAACAATAGTTAAGGACTTTTTTATATACTGTATATATAATTGCATCTTTCTGGTCTCTTTAGTGAAAGAAACATTGACAAGATTGTACCCAGCACATTTATTATCCAGTTCGCAAGATTGGTTTGGACGAAAAATACCGTTTTAACCCATTTGATCTCATCTTTCCAGAATACCTAATTTATTGTCTTCCCACCACAGCATCAACCTATGCTGAGAATATACCGGCTCTCATGTTCAGTGGGAAGATAAATTAGCTGAAAGGTGATAAGGTTTCATTCCAATCCTTTCGTCATATCATATGTGATTAACAGCAGCATGACTCACTTAAAACAATTTGACTTTTGCCCTTATGTTATGTGATAAATCTCTATCAAAATCTACTCAGAAGGCTTGCTGTGTCTCAGACTTAATTGTCCTAAACTGGCCTGAGTTTTGTTTTTCTTCTTCAATTGATCTCAAACATCTTAATCAGAATAAGTTGTGATATTTCTGAATGGGATTCTTGCAGTTGGAAATACATCACAGGAAGTTTGCTTTGAAGTCATCTATTTCAGAAGCGGAGTTCAATGGGTCAACAGGAATTCGAACGGAATTTCTTACCCATTAAAACACAGCAAATTAGTCCCCACTTTAAATCTTTAACAGTATCTTAAATGTTAAGTCAATTCTTTCTTGAGGAAAGCAAATTTTGACCAGGAAAATCAGTGAAATTCTTGCGCAAAATACTATTAAAACATCCTGTAGTTTTTAGTGGTTGCCTTTTCACTCTGTTCTAAAAAATGTTTTCCTTTTATTTAAAACAATTATTCAAAGCCGCTGCCTTATTTATTACGAATAAATAGTATAATTCCCTTTCACTGCAAAAATGTAGCTAAGTTGCATCAGGGCCAAAAGAGTTAACAAAAAAGTTTCACAAGGTCATAGCAAAAACATAGAATCATAAATCATGAGAAAAAATATGGTCGTGGATACCTTTTCGGAATCCAATTTTAGGGATGAATGTCTCAACCTAACCAGTTATGGCTGTGAGTTTATTCAGTGCACACCACATGTCAGACACACAACCATAATTTCAGCCAGCGAGTTAATCAATACTTTCCTGCGTGGTCGGCTTTGATTTACACAATCTGACTCCTATTTTCTTATTTAGTTCAGGCTTCATACAGTGCCATGATTCCTGCCATCTGTCATGTGCACATTGCGTAGTAACATATAATTACTTTGTGCCTTTACGATCTTGGTGAAACTATTTTAAAACGTATTACGGTTCTGAAAGCAATTCAGAGTTTGGCCGTAAGTTTAATTTTGTGTAGTTGTCCCTGGGTCCTTCCTCAATGCATTCCAGAACTTTTTAAACCAAACTCCTGTGCATTGTAGTTCTGCAGGAAAATGAACAACAGCAAAACTACGTGTGTTTCAGGTAATGCAATACTGCTGTAGCCTCTTGGGTTACAAGCAGATGATTTATGTCAGCTGTATAATACAGTAAACCTTGTGGAAAGTAACACAATTTATTTTCAAACTTTTTTGTTAAAGATGTAGCAGGGAGATAGCACAATAGTGTATCAATGTAATGTCCCCCCCCCAGCCCCGGGCTAATAGGATATGGCATTTACCCATAACTTAAGTTTTTCATGTGGTGAAGCATCAAGTGAATCTAAGTACTTTCCCATAGGACAGACAGCCCAAGCTACTTTTGCACAACTCCTTTGGGTTCTTTACAACCAATTTGTGCACAGCAATGTCCCACACACATGAAGTCAATGACCATTCTTAATTGGGGGATGTTGGTCAGGATTCCCTTCTTGTTTTGAATTGTCCCACGGGATCTTTAATGTCCACCTGAGCAGGCAGATGGGACCTTGGTTTAATGTTTCAGCCAAAGGAGGGCAAGTCCAGCAATGCAACACACCCCACAGCACTGCACTGGAGTGCTAGTCCAGACTGTGTAGAGTTCAAAGTTCTTAGATAGGAGTTAAATCCACAACCTTCTACCTTCGGATTGAGAGCGCTATCAATTGAGTGAGGCTGACACCTAATAAAGTATTAAAATAGATCAGATCTCTGAGCTGCGAATACATTACGGTACAGTGACAGGTTGCCAGATTACTCTGGTGCGATCGTTTAGTTTTGAGAGTAGTAAATTTCGAGACCTATGTTCGAAAAAATACAACTGGACTGCAAGTTCCACAAAAAAAAGACCCTAAAATAACCTTTGAAATAAGAACTTGGATTTTCCCCACATTCCCCACATATTTTTCTTGCTTCCCCTGTGCAGGATATGCAGAATGGAAGCACACACACACACACACACACCAATGGATATTTTTATCCCTGGCATGTACACCTTTATATGGTATTGGGACCTGGAACCTTGTGTTCAGATGAATACTTATTAACCTAGTTTTATTCACTTGTTACTGTTGATGATAATAATAATCCTTGCATTTGATATAGCGCTTTCCACGTCTTCACTGTAAAGCGAATTGACTGCATATTTGTGGGCGAAACACGATAGCCAATTGCGCACAGCAGCGTCCCACAAACAGTCATGGATTGAAGTGAACAATTTTATTATTGTTTTTTTTTCTTGAGGGGATTATTACCAGTCGTGTGGAGCAAGGAAACTTGCCCAAGGTTTCACCCTGCCGGGAATCGAACCCAGGTCTCTCGCTTGTGAGGTGAGTGCTTTAACCACTGAGGTACAGGACTCCTATACAATTTTTCTATGTCGTCTACAAAGAAATGCATCAGAATGCATTCATGTAAAGGGTGAATAAAACGTCATGAAGCTTTCCTGCTTTTCAACAAGAACAGAGGCTTGGTGCCAAGTTGTGCAGCAAATGGGGAATTACTGACACACAGAGGCAGAAACTGAAACATGCATTTCACCACTGCCACCACTCGCTCTCCCATTGAGAGAGAAATGAGTCTCGCATTTAATAAGTGGAGTCCTGTAGCTTAGTGGTAAGAGCACTCGCCTCGCAAGCGAGAGACCTGGGTTCAATTCCCAGCCCGGCAAAATGTTGGGCATGTTTCCTTACTCCACACACCTCTGTTTACCCAGCAGTAAGTTTGGCAGTAATAATTCCTTCGAAAAAATAATAATAAATTTGCCACTTCAATCCACGAGTGTTTGTGGGACGCTGCTGTGCGCAAATTGGCTGCCGCGTTTCGCCCACAAAATACACAGTCACTACACTTTACAGTATACTCTGTGAAGCGTTTTGAGACGTCTCGAAGATGTGATAAGGCGCTATATCAAATGCCAGGATTATAATTATTATAATAATTATTATATTATTATTATTATAATAATCCTTGCATTTGAATCAGTGCCTTATCACGTCGTCAAGATGTCTCAAAACGCTTCACAGAATATACTGTAAAGTGTAGTGACTGTGTATTTTGTGTTAATATTAACCTCTGTTTGGCCAGAAAATTACAGTGTTTACTTTCCTTATAAATTAAATTTTAATATTTGATTTGTGGGTTCCTTTATTGCGCTTTACTAGACGGAAACCTGGCTCAGTTGGTAGCACGTCCACCTCTGACTCAGAGGTTGATGGTTCAAGCTCCACATAGGGACAATTTATATCAGCTGTTTTTCTTATGGGTGAGGAATGATGGTGGAGAAGATAGCTTATGTGTCTTCGTCTTGGGAATAGTTTTAAGCCTTTATTTCATACCTTGTTATGGATTACAATCATGATTGCTAACCTGAAGAATATCCCGTCCCATATAAAACAAGTATTTTGAGCTGCATTTACATAATACATTGGGAAGATATGTGTAGCTGATTATTAAATTAATACATCTGTAATATAACACAGTTGATAGTCAACGTAGGAATTTTTTAAAAGTGTGTGCAAAGAGAATTTTTATTCTTAACATTGCTATATATGTTGCCTGTTTTTATACTGTTTTCATATTCCAAATCCCTGACTATTCAGCGCCTTGGGACGTCCTCCCGATGTGAAAAGCGCAATACAAATGTCATTTTATATTGTATTGTATTGTCGGTTCATACATGCAAGTTACTGACTGACAGGAACACAGTTTACTTGAACCAGGTAAATGATTGAAGTAAACGGCACACTATTCTTCTTGACGATTTATTTCTGAGTCGAGGTCAATCTGGGTACCAGAAAAAATATTAAGTGATTCAAGTTATCTGTATATTTCATACAACTCAAAAGGTTTTACATCTGTAAGGAGTTCTGACCTTCCTTGTGAATTACTCTTGGAGTTGAATTATTTACCATTTGAGCTGCAGACCATTCCTGGAAATAAAGGGCTCTTTAAAAAGAGCACACCAAAATAACACTGTTTTTGAATTTATGAATGAGATGATTTAATCTTCACAGTAATTGACAGTTTTTTTGCGTTCATTGAAATACTTTAACATGCGATCATATGCCACGTTTCGCCCACAAAATATACAGTCAATTCACTTCACGGTATATTCTGTGAACCGCTTTGAGACATCTCGAAGACATGATAAGGCGCTTAATCAAATGCAAGGATTATTATTATATGAAATGCACAATATGGGTATATGGCAAACTGCCTACAATGCATTCATTTTTTCAGCAAAAAAAACAGACATTGCCACTGTGCAACATCAACTGATGGAGACTAGAAATATTCATTTGAACTAAACTAGAGAGATTAGGGTTGGGTTAATTTGTCACTTAAAATGTTAGCAAACGGTTTGTGATAATGGCATTTTCAGTCGTTTTAGATTTTAGTAATTTGTTCTGGAAATTTGGTTGATGTTTGAGAGGAAGATGTCTCAGATGACAGCAGAAGATGACACTCTCCTCGTTCTTCTACCCATTCCATCGATCCAGGATCTGTCTCGTTCCATTAATTACTTCCAGCGACCAGCCACCTTAGTCTTCCCTCGAGTTCCTTTTGCGCTTCTGTAGATTTGAAAGCAGAAACATCATTCACAAAAATACTGTTACAGAACATTTTAATCACCTTTTATTTCATAACTATTGTCACTACCTGTGCCAAAGTCTGCACATCTGATACAAGCAATAAAACCAATGTACCCATTTCTATTATCCTGGGAGACATTTTTATATGGTGAAGATTTACAGTTTGGGTTTCAGTCTTACCACCAGGAATGATTGAATGGAATGAGCATAACTGACCAGGAAAATATCACTACAAAAGCGCCACCTCGTGGTCTAACCCTCACTTAAACATTTTTTAAACACCAAATAATTAAGGATGCTTCTTACTGATACCAACTACAGATAATGGCCAACTTCCACATGTACAGGACGACATGCAGATCTACTGCTCCACTTCATTTGATTCCAGTTCGCCGATGTTCTGATTACCTGCTTACCAGCTATCAAGGCCCGGGTAATGCTTAATTTCTCACAACTCAACATAAGACAAGACAGAAACCATCCTCTTTGGCTCCGTCTCTTCATTTCTGGTTCACACCTTCACAACCCTCCTGGTCTATTTGCCAAACTTGCCAAACCAATGTTTGCGGGAGGCTGCTGTGTGCAATTGGCTGCCATGTTTTGCCCACAACATATTCAGTCAATTCACTTTACAATGGATTCAGTGAAGCACTTTGAGACGCCTCAATGGAAGGATTATTATTATTAGCGTCTGGTTTGATCCTTGGCTCTCCTTTCTTCGTATTTGGGCCCTGACCAAAATCATCTTTTTCACCTGCAGCACATTGCTCTCCTCCGCCCAATCTCACGCAAAATGCAATCAGAATCCTCTTTCGCACCTTTCTAAGCTCCCAACTCAATTTGCACTCCTCACTGATCCGTAGTTTCACCATTCACAAACTCCATCTTATTCAAAGCCCCATTGCCCACATTCTCACCCACACCAAACTCCACAAACTCCACTGTCTCCCAATCGATTGATTTCATGGTTCTCACACTCATCGATAAATCCCTTCACACTCCAGCACCTCCTTATCTCTGAGCTTCTCCTACCTCACTCTGTTGCTCAGCTCTCCGCTCGACAAACACACTCCACATTTCCCTTCCTCTCTGCTTCACCACTTGAGGCTGAGGCTTCAGCAATTACACCCCTCATCTCTGGAACTCTCACCCTCTATCTTTCTATCTTGACCTCTGTCTATCTATCTGCCTTTAAATTCCACCTCAAAACCATCTTTCTTCAACCATGTTTACAGTCACCTGTCCCCTCCCCTACCTGCCTTGCTCAAAGCAGATTCATACAGTGTAAGGATTCATTTTGTCCGACATGAGTGATTAAGTGGTGGGAAACAAATTCATTATTTCCTCCTGGAAAATGGGGAGAATGTTGTCTGTAGAAAGAAGGAAGTCTGCGTTGAATAGTGGAAATGTGGGAGTGAGTTTCAATTCGATTATCGTTGGGGTTTGGAGTATACATGATTTGGGCAACAGAGTGGATTGGGTAAATTCCACAATACACTAGGTTTTGTATGGTCTGTGGAATCAACAGACTCAATGGAACACATGGTCACTTCTCTTTTAATTGATGTATTAAACTAGATTAATATTTGTATCACCACGAATAGACTCTTTAAAATGGAATGAACTGCCAAAGGTTAAATACTCACAATTTTTGGTGATCTGACACTCGAGTACGAAGCACATTAATCTGTAAACACATATAGCAGTTTTGTTTAGGGAAGAAAAACAAGTAATAGAACAATGATCTATTTCAAGTCCAGTTGATGGACAAAGATCGAACTTTCATCTCCTGCTTTTGCCACCTTGATAGGGTGTTGTTGCTCTCAATAGAAACCACAGAGTGAGAGAGTGAGTGAGGGAGGGACCTTTCCTTTATACCCAAAACCAAATGGGACTGCCAAATTAGGAAGCCAAAGGAAATTTCGGTTAGACAGATCTTATGTATGACTCTCCCATTTGTTCATCAATTCGAAGCTGCAGCAGGATGTCCTCCCGACGTGAAAGGGGTAATACAAATGTAATTTTGTATTGTATTGTTGGGTCCAATTCAACAAAATTGGGTTCTGTTGTACCTTTTTTGTACGCTAGTGGAGTCCTGTAGCTCAGTGGTTAGAGCACTCGCTTTGCAAGTGAGAGACCTGAGTTCAATTCCAGGCAGAGGGCGAAACCTTGGGCAAGTTTCCTTACTCCACACAGAGCCTAATAATAATCCCTCCAAAACCCAAAACAATAATAAATTGGTCATTTTCAATGGGACATTGCTGTGCGCAATTGGCTGCCAAGTTCGCCCACAAATATACAGTCAATTCACTTTACGGTGTGTTCTGTGAAGCGCTTTGGGACGTCCTCCCGACGTGAAAAGCGCTATATCAAATGCAAGGATTATTATTATTATTATAGATTCTGCCCTTTTTGGTTGCCCATTCAAGTACCATTCAATAGATCAGTAGATGGTGAGATCACCTGTTTGCAGGCCTCCATAATTAAGCACACCTTTTTACAATTCATAGTCCATTTAACTCATTTGAATGAAATACTGATTTCACCAAAGAAAAAGTTGAATTCTGGCAACAGGAAAGCACAGACTCCCCCGAGACATGTTCTTCAATCAATTTAAAGTTGACGAAATCCTCTTAACAATGTAAATGTTAATATGCAATGAAATGTGCCATATGAAAATACATTTCCGTTTCCGTGACATTGTTTAACAGAGCACACTTAATTGGAGGATATCATTAGAGGATTTACCATGTGAACACACACAAAAGTCTACTTACTTCATATCTCTGTCTTTTCAGTTTCTCAGACAGGTCAAACTTCTCTCCTTCCAGCAGCAACAACCAATCTGCTAGCTCCTGGGCCTTATCCCTGTACACAATAGGGATAATATATTATATCATTTTCTCACAGATTTGCAAGTGCGAAAAAACTTAAATCACTACACAGTGTGGCTCAGTTATACTAATGATTGTAACATCAGCTGGGAGAAACTAAATCTTAAAGCGAACCTTTTCTTGTTGTTTCCTTTTCAAAGGAAACGTGAGAAAAGGCCATTAAGCCCAGCAAATCGTACTTTGAATAACACCAATGCTTTTGCCTCTGTTATACTGTTTTGTTGATTATTCCAAACACTGAATAAATATATTTTCTCTATCTTCAGTTTACTTTTCACTAACATACCTTTATGTCCCCTACTCTACTTACTTTGTTTGCCTTAAGAAATAGTCTTGTTTACCTAATTGTTAGCATTAAATATTTTATAAACTTTGCTAATGCTCTACCTTACTATTTGTTTCTAACCTGGAGAGCCCTTTTATAAAGGCACATTGTCAAGGTTACTATACTATTGATACCCTAAATATCTAATAGCATTCTAAGGCTAACCACCAAAAATCATAATGATGACAACCGGTTTACTTGCGTGAACTTACTTGAGCTTGTCATCACTGAGGTTCTCAATATTGAAAGGTTTACGTCTGTCTGCCAGAATCTTCCTTTTCTTTTCTCTCTCGGTTTGTTTCTTCCCACCTTTGCGGGTCTCATTCTGTAAGACAAAAAATTGGACATTGAGTCAAAATCACACCCCGGCATCTGATCAGCTAACAAGATTCAAAGAACCTTCTTTCAAAATTCCAAATAAATCCCTGAAACCAATAGCAATGTTAAATTCTTATCACAACATACTATAACGTTGTGTGCTATCCATAACAAACTATGTTAAATTCTTGTCACATATCATCTTACAAATTTGTGAAGTGCTTTGAGACATCTCCAAAACATGATAAGGCACTGTATCAAATGCAAGGATTATTATCATTATCCATAATATACTATGTTAAATTCTTATCGCATATCATCTCATATTATCCATAACAGACTATGTTAAAATTGTATAGCTGCGTGCCATGCATGCAAAATTCACATTTATTTAGTGGAACTAGGAGGCACTAAATAGAATCATAGAATATTACAACACAGAAAGAGGCCATTTGGTCCATCATGCCTGTGACAGCTCTTTGGAAGAGCTGCCCAATCAGTCCCACGCATCTGCTCTTTCCCCATACCCCTGCATTTTTTTCCTTTTCATGTACCTATCTAATTCCCATTTGAAAGTGGTTACTGAATCTGTTTCCACCAGCCTTTCAGGCAGTGCATTCCAGACTGTAATAAATATTAAACGCGGCTACACAGAATGTTTCAACGATAGCAACGTACCTTCTGCATATAACCTCCATAGTGTAGGGACATGTTGGAGAGAACTTTCTTCTTCTTGGCATCTTCTTCGACCTTCTTCCGAACTTCCTCATCTTCCTTTCTTGCCTTTTCCTCCTAGGGAATACATTTGTTTTAAAAAGACAATCAGTTTTCTGAAGTGTTCTCAGATTACGCAAGGTACCAGGTGATGCACTTGTTGAGGTACTTCACTGGTTGAACCACTTTGTCCTCTCAGATGTCGATGACAACAGTGGAGTTCGTGATACAGAGCAGTGTCGGTCTGCTGACAAAGGAGGTCATTGTTCAACAGAGAGTGATCATTCACATAACGGATTTATCCATTGGGGCGGGAGAGATGTAAAGATGTATTTGCTTTCAATAAAAATAACTCACGGCCACTCGATTCAGCCGCTCTTTTTCCTTTTCTGCTCGAATTCGCTGCTGATCAGATCTTTCCGCTCTACGCTTTTCCTGTAAGCAAACATCATTTTTATTTGAAAATGTCCACAAAGGCATCAAATGAAAACAACTAAGTAAAAGGCTCGTTATATCCAAATCATTCGATTTATACACGTAAATTGAATATGATATCCTACTTGAGGGTTTTTATAACTTTAAGCCTTTCCCTATTCTGTTCTAAAGCAAATAGCTTTCTTATTTATATATATTGCCTTTGTGGCTCCCCGGTAAAAAGGATTTGGATTATTCTCAATCCTTTTTTTAATGTAAAAGATAAAAAAAACATAAATTTCGCCCACAAAATATTCAGTATATTCTGTGAAGTGCTTTGAGACATTTCAACGACGCGATTAGGTGCCATGTCAAATGCAATGATTATTATGAAATGCTCATTAAATGCATGTACATCGCCAGACTACGGCACTACCTCACCCCTCACGCTGATGAAACTCTGGTCCACGCCTTTATCACCTCAAGGCTGGACTATGGGAACTCTCTCCTCTCCGGCCTTCCCGGCCCTCCCTCCACACTGCAGGTCATTCAGAACTCTGCAGCTCGAGTACTGTCCCGCACCAGACACCGCGACCACATCACTCCCACCCTCGCTCACCTCCACTGGCTCCCCATCCCCCAGAGGATTGATTTCAAGATCCTCATCCTCACCTACAAGGCCATTCACGGCCTCGCTCTCTCCTACCTCTCCGACCTACTATCCCCCTACCTACCTGCCCGTACCCTCCGTTCCTCTGGCTCCGGTCTGCTCCACACCCCCGCCCCAACCGCCCTACCATCGGTGGTCGGGCCTTCAGCCTCTCAGCCCGAGGCTCTGGAACTCCATCCCCCAGTGCCTTCGCCGCCTCCTCCCTTTCCTCCTTCAAAGCCGGTCTCAAGACCTTTCTCTTTGACCGAGCCTTCAGCTCCCCTCTCGACTCTCTTCCCCCTCCTCGCTCCCTCCCTTCCCACCCCTCACCCTGACCATTTCCCCCCCAATGCTCGGGTCCTGACCCAACTGTCCAGCGCCTTGGGACGTCCTTCCAATGTGAAAGGCGCTCTATAAATGAAATCTTGTTGTTGTTGTTGTTGTTGATGTACAGCATTTACAACATTTATTTAAGAAGAACTTTATTTAGGATCTATCTTTTTTGACCATGTTTTGGCCATCTTCCTCCACACACGCACACCCTCCCTCACCCAGCTCAGGCTCACCATCAGCTATCTTAAGCGCTCTGAGACATTCTCCTGACCTGATATGTTCAATACAATCAAATGTATGTTGTTGTTATCATATAGATTTTGACAATAGAAACTTACAATTCTGTCTTTTAAAGCAACCAGTTCCTCTTCTTCCTTTTTCCTCTTCTCAAAGTGAGCTTCAATCAGGGTCTGGAGCTCAAGCAGGTCCTTTTCCATACGTTTTCTATGAATGTCCTGGGGGGGAAATGGTTTTAGATGATGAATATTATTTTTTGCCCACAAAATACACAGTCAATTCACTTTACATTATATTCTGTGAAGGGCTTTGAGACACCTCAAGGATGTGATAAGGCGTTATATCAATTGCAAGGATTCTATTATTATTATTATGGTCAAAAGAGTCAAGATTAATGACATGTTTCTACATAAAAGTAGGCAGTTTTTATATGCCACAAAATAAATTCCTAATTATACATTATTTCCCCTTCCTAGCTCAAGTACCGATACAATATTTAAACCAAAATATAAATCAAATTACAGGATCTTTGAAACAATATGTTTACTTGTATAAGTATTATCAATATAAAATGCTAACTATGTTATCGTGTCACAAGAAAGAAAACAACACTTGCATCAAAGTCAACTTTGTCGCCATCGGGAATTTTGGGAGCTACAAGATTTTGCATGAATAACCTGAAAGAACAAGATACAATTAAATCTGAACTTCATTTCTCCATGTAAAGAGTATATGGAACTCATGAATAAAAGATCAAGGTCATCCAAGTTAGTCTATTTGTACATCCCATGTCACTGCGTGTGAACAGGATACTCCAGAAATGAAGCATTATGTCGTATGAAATAAATATTTAATACACTTAGAGTTCCTGGGCCTTGCATTCAGCTGAGGTATGTTACCCTTATAAAAATAGTTTGGACAAAATACTTTAGCGTAACTTAGCTATACAAATGCAACTTGCTGTTGTTCTCGTTTGAGACTTACTTCTGTTTGGGCTTTGCCTCTTCTGTAAAAGGAAACAATAATCAAATGATATATTAATAAACTCATGATACTAAAACAATATTATACACAGTTTCAATGCTTAGAAATTGCTACGAGACATGTACCAAGCTAATGGCTGTTATATTAATACCGATATATATTATTTTACAAAATATTTTAATGTTTAGTATTTTAAAAATATGTTTAATGCAAGCTTTGAGGTAGCCTCCCAATTTGAAAGGCGCTGCTGTATATCAAATGTAAAGATAATTTATTTATTTATCTCCCCAACACATACAAATTTTTGAAGATAGTGAAGTTAGGATACAGACTATTCCAAATATTCACTCAATAGTTGTTTAAACAAGGTTAGTATAGCTCAATTTGATGTACCGTCAATGCTTTCAAGATGTAATATCTTATTTGAATACTATGCTAATAAATCTCTTTATCACCAAAATACACAGATTTGTATCAATAATAATAATAATAATCCTTGCATTTGATATAGCGCTTTTCACGTCGGGAGGACGTCCCAAAGCGCTTCACAGAACACACTGTAAAGTGAATTGACTGTATATTTGTGGGCGAATGCGGCAGCCAATTGCGCACAGCAATGTCCCACAAACAGTCGTAGATTGAAAATGACCAATTTATTATTGTTTTTGGTTTTGGAGGGATTATTATTAGGTGTGTGGAGTAAGGATACTTGCTCAAGGTTTCGCCCTGCGTGCTCATCCATGTTTTAGACATAAATAATAAATACACATTCTAATTCTAATTGGTTGTGTTTATTTACAATGATCTATAGATTTGCATTTTGAAAAGATGTTTAATGTTTGCATTGCAAGGATGCATTCAAATGCAAAGATTATGTATTTGCCCTCGGTGCTATTGTCTTTTGTTGAGTTGCACAAGATACATTTCAGTATCAGGATTATTTATTTGAAATCTCATCGGTCACTAATGGGGAAACATTCTGCTGAGCTTTATGCATTGTGCATTTGGCTCTTTGTGATTGTACATGGAAATCCCATCAGTGGCTGACATTAAACCTTAGGCAAGTTTCCTTACTCCACATGCCGCTGTTCACCTTGCAGTAAGTAGGAACCCGGTTGTCAGTCGATTGGCAGATCGCTTTCCAGGCAGGTAATAACCCCTCCAAAAATATAATAATAATAATTTGGTCACTCAATCCACGACTGTTTGTGGAACACTGCTGCGTGCAATTGGCTGCCGATTTTCGCCCTCAAAATATACAGTCACTCCACTTTACAATATATTCCGTGAAGCGCTTTGAGATGTCTCAATGACAGGCTAAGGCGCTACATCAAATGAAAGGAATAATATTACCATGTGTGCACCGCTAACTGGAAAATTTTCCTGAGAATTAAGTATTGCTCAAAGAAGCCNAAAAAAATCCTTAACAGACATTCCATGGGATTATAAAAAAATATAAAATTAGTACATACCCTCTTCTGTTTCTCCTGCTGTGAGAGGATAGAAAAAAAAAGTCAGGGAGCAGACAAGAACCAAAATACATCCAAAATTAACAATTATGGAGCTGACATTCCTCTTTTTGTGAAGACTTGGAAGAGAAACGGGTTTTCCAAGAACGTTAGAGAAAAGCTTTTGATGCTTTGGGATGTCCTCCAGATATAAAAGGTGTTATATAAATATAAACTACATTGCATTGTATAAAGAAATTACATAGTTTTTTATGATAAACAGAACTCTGCCGCTTATATCTTCAGCTGTGAGGGAAAAGAACAAGAATAATACACAGCTGGTTCCACAAACACCAACTAATTTTAAATCTTTTAAGTTAAAAAAAGAGAAAAAAATACCAATTGTGAGAATGATACCAGACTTGGGAATGCAAAAAGAAAATGAGTTAATGATTGTGCAAAAAAAAAAGTAATATTTGCAGCCAGAAACCAATTTAAAAGTAGAAATATCAAGATCTCTTGCATGCACTCAAAGAGAGGCAGTAGATCTGTAAACAAGAGAGACAGAGCAGCAGAAGCAAGTAACAGACATCGATCTATTTAACTCATTTATCAGATATGTTATACTTGAAGGCTTGTCCATTGATAAGGAATTCGAGCTTAGATTTTACCGTATACAGATGCATTGATTTGAGTGTTCAGAAATAGCCTAGAAAAGGCATAGCATAATGTTTGACTTGATATATTCGCCCACAAAATATAGTCACTCCACTTTACAGTATATTCTGTGAAGCGCTTTGAGACGTCTCAAAGACATGATAAGGTGCTATATCAAATGCAAGGATTATTTATTATTATTTATTTGTATTGCTGAGAGCAAAGCCCACTCAATCAAGTATTTACTGGATTTCGTTATTTTAGGACTGAATTTTGAAATTTTGAATTTTGAAAAAAAATTGGGCATTAAACACAAGAGTAACCTGTGCTCGGAAAAATGGATCGATTCTGCAATGTTATGACAGCTCCGGGGAATAGATGGCAATGCACCAAAGGTGTTAGCTGCGGATTGACAAAGGACTGTACCTTCTTGACTTGGTTGATCAGTCTGAAGAGGAGCAGATTCTGCTCATACCAATCGAATAACAGAGAGAAAAAAAAAGGTCAGTCTGGTTGGCATAAAAGATGATGTCCGCTTTGCCCGCTGTGGGTTTTTTTCACACTAAGAACAAATTAGTGATACTCTGCGATTGAGAAAAGGGATGAATATTAGGAAAATGCGCACTAAATAGCTCAATAATGCTTGTTATCCAGGGAATAGATAACCACTGAAGAAATTTATGGAATTCTCTACCCCAAAGGGCTGTAGATGCTCAGTCCTTGAACATATTCAAGACTGAGATTGATAGATTTCTTGTGGATAAAGGGATTAAGGGATATGGGGATAAGGCGGGTAGGTGGAGTTAGAATAGATCAGCCATGATCTTATTGAATGGCGGGGCAGGCTAGGAGGGGCCGAATGGCCTATTCCTGCTCCTAATTCTTATGTTCTTATATGTTCTAAATACAAAACATCTAAAACCAATAAGTCAATATTCTTTCCCGCGCCACCCCCTATTACCCACTGCCTCCGCTCGACTGGCTCTGGCCTCCTGCTTCTCCCTCGTGCCCTCCGCTCCACCATCAGTGGCCGTGCTTTGAGCCACTATCCTGGAATACTCTTCCTCTATCACTCCACCTTTCTCCTTCCTTCCCCATCTTCAGGTTACACCTGAAGACTTTCCTCTTTGGTGACCTCCCCCTCTCCTTGGCTGTTAAGTGCTCTGGGACGCTACCCTGTGTGAGGGGCGCTATATAAACACAAGTTGTTGTTGTCATTTAAAAGCCACAAAAACAAGAGTTAAACAATTGCTGATGAGGCTCATCTACTGTTACTTTTGGGAAAAGTATTCAAAACTAAAACAGTAGGAATGTCTCACTCGATCTTATTGATCTTATTATCTTATTGGGTTGTGTTATGAAAATATTTTCATGTGAAGATTAGATTTTTTTCTAAACTTTGAGACAAAGCAACTATTTAAATGATGATTAAACGTAAAAGGAGGAGTTAAAAGGAAACAAACAGGCAGGTTATGGGATACTATAGATAAACAATGCACAGTTTGTAAAATGGAACCAAAATATAATAAAGAAAAACTTGTGATAGGTGCAAAATTGGTGACTATGTTAAAATATCTGTTCAAAGTTCAGCTTCATACCTTCTGTTTCAGCTTCGGGCTCTTCTGCTTTGAAGAATTTCAAACAGAAATGTAAATGTAAAAGAATCATTTAAAGCTTCTGATTTTCCTTAGAAAATGAGCGTAAGTCTGGTTTAAGAAGAGTGAGAGGCAAAACTGGCACATGGTTTCAAAACAGTGAACGGAATAAAAAGAATGGCTGGAAAAGGGCATTTTTTCAAATGCAAAATACTTCTTTATAAACTGAAGCAGCTACATGATAAACTTTGGTATGAAGAATAATGTGTTGATTGCTGGGTTGGGCAACCATTTGATTCACTAATCTGACACCATTAAATCAATGCTATTAGGATTCAATTCATTTCTGAGGAGTAGACTCTACCCGAAGAGTAGATAGAGAGGAGTTTGGGATATGAACATTTATGGAAAGAAATGTCAATTGCGCCTTGAAACCAGGCACACAAAATGCATGAATTACTGTAACGTTTTTATCATCATCATCACGTCTTCCTTTCAATTTGGTATAGTTTATTATTCCGTGTTAAAAATATTGAATACGTTAGAAAAATGTATATTTTGTACCTTCCTCAGCTGGTGGTTCCTCTGTGTAGGAGAAATAATGAAGAGAAAATGAGGATGAAGAAAAAACAAAATATTCGTCCAGGAATATTTTTGAAAAAAAAACACTTGAAAAAACAAGCATCGATAATCCTCTCTTACCTTCTTGCTCCCTGCAAGCAAAAGCAAATATGCAGATGGTGAATTATAATTATTAAACCAAGATTGGTTAAGGAATCATAGTTTTGCAGCTAAACATTAAATGTGCATTGTCAATTAAAACTTACTCTATATCCTCTGCGATCTCTTCAGTATCTGCCATTTTTACCCAATACCTATTAAAAATAAACACATGTAAAGTTTCAATTCATTTTTATTTGTTCCAACAAAAATACGTGACATAATTAATGTTTGATGTATTGAGATGTTCAAATTGTTAGCAAAAGATCCCCAACATGGGAAAATCATAATCTTCAATAAGCAATTCAAAGCCCTAAATGGATTCTCTCACAACCAGCATGACAGAAAATAAGGAAAGATTTTGGAGCAAGTTGTTCTGCTGAACATACACGAAAAGAGGCACAAGGTCGGTTTAATAGGTTACTATAATAAGGAATGATTCCATTGATTTCTCCTTGTTCGATAAAAGGGATAGTGTCCTTTTCTGGGCTGCTTTGAGGTCATTGATTTGGTAACCACATAAGGTGGTCGGTCTATCACTAAATATAGCAGTCTTTTTGTTACTTATTTATAATGGGAAATCACCATTATAATAAGGTGACTGGATTTCCATCTATAGCTATTGCCATGCATCAGAACTCAATGGCTGTGCATTGTGTGTGAAGGCACTTCTAAATGGGGAACTGGTGACCTTTCCTTCTCCTGTCTGCTGAAGGTTTCTGCACGCTCCACATTCTAACAATCGTTTCAATTGATGGCAATGAGAAGAATATTACTTTATATTTTAAGACCAACAAAATCACGATTCTAATGAGCGGTCACACTCCCCCTCCCTCCACCCCCCCCTCACCCTTATTTCTCTGCGCGAAGCTTTAACTCTGAGATATTACAATTTCTTCAGGACTTTAATCAATATTTATTTCAACTGACAAAGGGTTAGAAACATGTCAGGTAAAATGTGAGCTGCGTCTAGATGATAATAATAGTCTTTACAGTCAGTAAAGTGCCTGTCACTATATCAGGATAGTGGTATAGTGGAAAGTGGAATGACTTTGATTCATGAGTGATTTGCTGTATTTATTTGTTTTGGAGGTCAGTATGCATCAGATTCCCAGCTGACCAAACAAAAATAGTATTTAAGACTGCCCAAAATTGGGCAAATTATTGAATTCAGTCTTAAATTTTAAACCTTTTGTCTGCAGTTCTTAAATAAATTTGCAGAAAAAACAGCTTCAAAATTAAGATTGCATCAAAGAAATTACCAGACTGTTTGTTCTGTTAATGGAGTAAATTTACCCTGAATAAATTGTAAAGAGAGAAACAGAACAAGGCACACGTTTAACTTATTTGAAAGAAGATTCTTTGAATTGTGATCAACGTAAGTTATTTTACACTATCAATACATTTAATGAGCAATAATTTGACACCAAGTTATTTAATCAACGCCTCTAATTTCAGCCTTGTGATTCCTCTATCCTGTATCTATATTATCTAATGTGGTAAACACTGGTCGTGCGAGAAGTCAGGGACGATAGAGATACCGGACACAGCTTAGTCCATCAATTGGCTGGAGCTTTCTGTTCCTGTTGTCAGCTGAGTCCTTGTAAGTCTTATTTCAACACATGCTTTGTTGTACACTTCTCATGAGGTGCTATGAATTCAACTTTAGTGTAAATTTGGAGACAAATATATAGCATGGAAACCTAAGCATTATTAACCCAGAAGGAGGTGCATTTCAACATGTTTTAAGACATCCTCTTTAATAATCCTACTTTACAGTTCTTTTCTAATCCAAAAATGAGTACATCTAAAGCATTTCAAGTCATACGCATCTTAACAGAGATAGACACCTAAACAGGTGGTCTAACTACTGGTGCCAATACAATGCCCCCAGACACCAAATGATCATAACAATGTGACATCTATGCAATGAGTGCACGTTAGTAACTTAAAGGGGGGCTGGGAGAGATAGTTCCTACAATAAATGTAAGGACTTGATATGAAATATACAGATTATTATGTGGATTTAATGAAATAGGCCATACAGGTTTTCAAAAGCGTAAGTCTACATGTGATATTGTTTCATGTATATGAATGAAAATACTAATATGAAAGAAAACAAGAATAGAATAATTACAGACAAATATATCCCTGGTGGCGTGAGTGAGTGAGTGAGTGAGTGAGTGAGTGAGTGAGTGAGTGAGTGAGTGAGTGAGTGAGTGAGTGAGTGAGTGAGTGAGTGAGATATTGAGACAGTGAGTGAGTGAGTGAGTGTTAATTAATAAATCTCATTCATCGACACTCTTGAGTGTAATATCAAGTGATGTTGCATCCTCTAATTGTTGATCATCTATATAAATCACCACAGCCACATCCCTGGAATACAAGATAATAAAAAATATATAAATTGCACACAAGAATTTGGCGTGCGTAAGATCTTGTTTTTTACGGTGATAATTTTTAAAATACTTTTGGGGGCTGGTTGGTTAGATAGGTTAGGGAAAGGCACAAATTGATATTTTCTTTACTCACTAAAAGCGATGGAAATGAAATTGTGCATGTATGAATGATGCCTTTGCACTCCATATGAATATTGAACGATAATGAAGTACGACTATGTTATGGAAAGGCATTTCAACCCAGATATCACTATAGGATAATAGCGATAATGATCTCCCAGTTTTTTTTCATTGGGAGGAAAAACCACTGAAAAAAGTCATAATCTAATTATCTTATTTTGATTTATTTTGCATACAAATCACAGAAGCCCCAATAAACTATCAACAGCTGAATGGTCAAATACATGAGGATATGTTCAAGCTGTAGGTTTCTAACCATAAATGCTTTCAATATGACTTTGATAAACATTTGAGTCAATGAGGTATTGTATAACAAAATATAACAGTTTTTTTTACAGGGCCATCAAAATACCAATTTGTGCCTTTCAGTCGTTTGTTTTTGGTCTGCTTTCCACCCTATGCAAGATTCCAACTTGATTATAATTATTATTATAAATTGAAGTCAAAAGGATTAACTCCACACCGAAAAAGAAAGAAGGCAAATTGTGAAGCTGTGAAGTTGTTCTTACCTGGGACTGGGAGTAGAATTAAGAGTTGCTGTGTGTGACTGTTGTGGCTGTCGGTGTCTGCTGTACAATTTCAGCTAACACTTGGAGCACATTAAACTTGTCTCGTTTCTCTATTGGTCAAGAAAGACCTCCCCTCTCCCCCCCACTCACCCCCCCATGCAGGATTAAAACACGGGCCGGGGCCATTTGATTGACAGACAAAAGCTCTTGTGGTTTTCGGAATTAATCAGAATATTTTTCATGTTATTAATAATTTAGAGGACAACACGGCTGAGCAAGCTCTGATTTATTTATATTACGTGTGAGGCCCTGCTGTTATCAGTCATCTGGAAGGGGAGGTGGGTGGCAGCAACGTTGAAACACACAGGCCGAGATGACAGGTACCCATGCCTGAACTGTCACCACGGAGTCAGACAATTTGGCCATCATTCAGATCATTCCACGAGCATTGTCAGATACCCAGCCTTTAAATAGCACCGAAAAATAGTGTGAAAAGTTGCTCAAACGATAGAATGTGCAATGCAAACAAAAAAAGAATTGACATGAGGGTTATGACATTTGGGTATCATTCCCCTTCACAGTTGAGGAAACATGTTCAGCAGAATGATCTGAGTTGGTATTCTGGGTGTCAAGAGAGCTTCCAAAGACAGGCGTTGTGTTTATATTAACCTCATTAAGTTTGTAAACCATTTCAATTGATTTTCAACCTCTAAATCTTCGAACCTTGTAACTTTCTCTGGGTTGTCAGTTTGGCTCAGTTTCACCTCTGAGTCACAACTGCTGCGGATCAGAAGGTCAAACCACCTTCACCTTACAGTCGAAGGCTAACCCTCCAACCCAGTACAAGGGGAGTGCAGCATTGTTAGATAAGTCAATAGATATTCAATCAGGAAACATTTTGTTGGCAGACCAAAGTTGGCCCCCACTGCTCTAGTAGGAAGTTGGTTGGCTGTATCTGTGCTTGTCAACCTTTTTCTTACCAGATGTGGCTCAGATTTTTATTGAAATGTGGTGGACCATTAGTAAATGAGACTGTCATCAGAGATCTCTGGTGTTGACAAGCCATGAGATTGCGACAGAGAGGTGCAATGATGGTTCTTAGACCAGTCCAACGTGGACCTTAAATACAATTTATCATCATAGCTGATAATCTAAGGTAGAGATTCACAAATTTATTCATTGGACTCCACTTATCTCTGACCGAAGTCCAGGTGAGATGGTTAGAACACATAAAATTGTTTTGTGGTGGGTTTTCAGATGGAGGGGTTCACCATTTGGGAACCCTCCCAAAGCTAGCCCATCCCACATATCTACACTAGGTACAGCTTCAGAAGATCTCTACTCTTTAACGTTTAGCCTTATCTGGAGCGAACACTTTGTGGAGCATCGCTTGCACATGTCTTCCTGAAGTTGCTGTGCGATGTTGCCCAGGGCTTCACAAACACTGCCCCAGCCATCAGCCATCTCGGACAGCACGAGCCCATGCACCAGCTTTTGAGAGACACTCAGCTAGATGGACTGATGATGGTACTAATGTTCTAATGAATGGGTTCTAACTTTTTGCCAATGTCCGTAAGACTGATGTTCTCCTCCTTGGCTTGTCCGCTCTTTGGAACTCGATGCCTCTTGCCTGACCCTCCCTCTCCACTCTCAAAATCTACCTTAAGACCAATCTCTTCACTTGCACTTTTGGCCAGCTATCCCCTCTCTTGCTCTGTTCTCCCCATGTATCCACCCCCACCCCCCCATCAGCATCCTAATCAGTTGTAGGAAATGCTTTGAGTTGTGCTCCCAACCATGAAAGGCATTATATAACCGTTGTTGTCGTACACCTGTGTGAAATTGTTACACCTCACTGTCCCACAAACAATATGAGGTGAATGAGCATTATTGGCCTGGACACCGGGAGAAACTCACTTTTCCTTTCGAATAGTGACATGGGATCTTTACAGTCCACCTTAAAAGGCCAGTGGGACCTCAATATTACATCTCATCCAAAGGACAGGATCTCCAACAATACCCACCTCCCATGCACTGCATTGGAGTGTCAGCTTACACGATGTGAGTTCCAAGACCCGACATGGGGCTTGAACCCACAACCATCTGACTCAGAGGCAAGAGTGCTACCAACCGAGCCAGGCTGACACGCTAATGAATAAACACTTCGATAAGTCGTCTTATAGAAATAATCTATTTATTCTGAAGATGTCATTTTCATAATACATTGTTTGGAACACTTTTTTTTAAATGCAAAAAGGCGGTTATCTGCGACGCAAACTGTTTGCGGTGTTCACAAAATGGCAGGAAGGCAGATAATTCAAGATAAAGGTTGCATAGTTTTATTTTCAGACAGACCTATACAATGATTGAGTGCATTTGCATTTCTTGTTATATGTAAACCAAAAAAGGTACAAAATGGTTAATGTTTCATAGCGAAGCAGTCGTAGCACATTTTCGGGTTGATTTTCACCTTTATTTAACTTTGCGTATAGGTGACTAAGATATACATGGAGTGGTAAAAGCCTTTTTTTTGTCTATTCGGCCTGTCAGAATTAAACTCCCTTTAGGTCTATCATATATATTTCAGTGTCATATACCTTCCAAATTCCCTCAGAACTAAGGCCTTTGAATGGTCTTGTCTTTGCCACGTATACAGGCTAAAATATGAATAAAAGTGAGATACATCAAAAAGGTACGCGGTACAAGTCTTGTGACATGCATAGTGGAAGTTCAGTGTTTTGGAGAACTCTTACCCTTTTTGCCTTCTAATTCCCCCAATCTTTCCATTGTCCTATCTCCTCGCGGATATACAGAAACGAACACACACGCACGCATACACTCACTCACATAACCTACTTTACGCCTTAAAATATATTGTGTTACTTTTTTTAAAAAAAAATGAGGCAGCTTTGACTTTTTTTGTTTATCTGCTCGAGAACTTGCTTCGAACATCTAAGGCCAGTTATTATGGTTCTATATTTAATAAAAACAAATTGTGAACGTTTCAAATAAGCTGTGACTTAGGCTACTATCTGGTTTATTACGGAATACATGATCTAGCACTTTAAGCCAGTTAAAAGCTCTCTACACAAAACTACAAAGCTAGAACTTATGAAAGTTATCTGTGATGCGTCAACCATTACTCAATGTTCCACCATTCAGAGCAAAATCAACCAGTCCATAGTCAGTACCACTATTGGAGATCGAATTTTAAACCCATTTAAACATTACATTTAATAGAAAAGTAAAAAATAGGACATAATAGGCAGAACTCAACTTTTTTTTGTCTCAAGGAGAAATCTTATCAAAATCTTGTTAAGTCTTTAACATTGAATTCATCAATCAATTCAAGATCAAATGTTCTTTTTGCCATATTTTACTTTATAGGTATATGTGTAATAAAAAAAGAATTATTTGTAGTTTTATTCATCAATATTCTAACTGCTCAGATTTCGCAGCACATCTCACTTTTTGAACCAAGTTTCGCAATGATGTGTGCAAAGGCAGAATACCGGTAAAGGTCAAATGTGATTGTGGATTTTAAATACAGTGCTAATATACATGGCTTTGACTGGGATAATGTGAAACAATTTGTTAATAAAATATTACATAAATATAAAAAGCTGGCCTAGCCCTTTTCAATAACTTGTGGACCAAATCTCTTTAGGGTTCGTTTTCATAGTGTGCCATTCCTGCTGAAAAAGACAGAAAATAGTCAAGGAGATGAACAAATCTGGATACGCAATCAGAACAATCCTTACACTTGTTATAGTGCCTTTTCACTTTAATAATAAAATGGACAACCTGCGTCTAATACTTTCCGGAATTAGGTAAGCAGGATGCGTCCATCCAGGGAGAGCGCGCGTTCCATTCCAATAATCTATCTCTTGGATTTCCACGTCTAGGTGGGATGCATGTAATTTTCAGCTTAGTTTGGATGCTCTTAAGCAGGGTGATGGGTTTCCCCATGTGTCAGACACCAGGCTGACCCCCCCCCCCCCCCCCACCCAAAAAAAATAAAAATCCTTGCATTTGATATTTATTGTCGTGACTATAATTTTCTAATGTCCTATAAAAAGTCACGCTTTCACAGAAAGTAGTGAGTATGTAGAATAGATTATCCAAGGAGGAGCTGAAAGCAGTTTTTTTGTCAACGAATTCAGGAGTTTATGGATAACTATTTGGTGAGTAAAATCATTAGAGATGGGAGTATTGGATGATTCTGTTTGACTTTACAACTAGACCAGGCACCTATTTTAACCTCCTATATGTGTCTGCCCACATAACACGGTGTCATCATCATGCTTAATAATATTACAAGAAGTATTCTGTGAATAGTGTGAACAGCAGGGATCGTCTCTCAGACATCGCTAGGCACAGTCGCACACACAGAATGGCAAGTTTGGACCTAGACTCATAATTGCATCCAAATTCACTCCTCGATCAGCATCCAGTTCATTTGGATTGCTTGAAGAGGGAATTCCTCCATTTCATTACACCACTCCAATCTCATAGCCTGGGATAGAGCCTGGATGTAACTGATGTGTAACTTTGAGGCTGAAACCTGTGACTTGATCAGAAAGCTAGGGCAAGACTGATCACATCCCATGGGTGTCTGCAGCCTACAATTAGCTAATGAAGTGATACAGTATTAACAACAACAACAAGATTACATTTGTATAGCGCCTTTCATGTTGGGAGGACGTCCCAAGGCGCTGGACAGAGTACAGCATTTCAGACCCGAGCTGGGGTCAGGGGGGGAGAAGGGAGGGGAGAGGAAGGGGGCTGGCCGCTGGCATGGTCGAAGAGGAGGGTCTTGAGGCGGGACTTGAAGCAGGCTAAGGAGGGGACGAGACGGAGTGACTGGGGGATGGAATTCCAGAGGTTGGGGGCAGAGTGGCTGAAGGCTCTCCCGCCAATGGTGGAGCGGGTGACGTGGAGCAGCCAGAGCCGGCTGAGTGGAGGGAGCGGGCAGGTTGGTAGGGGGTTAGGAGGTCGCAGAGGTAGGGTGGAGCGAGGCCATGGAGGGCTTTGTATGTGAGGACCCTCCCAAGATAAATTAGTTTAGTGAAATACAACCAAATCCACATTTAAATTGCTAGCGTTATACTCTTTTACCAGGAGATTGCATGATATGCTGTACTCTTAATCCTCGCTAGTGATCCCTGTCCAATTATCATAGATTGAGCAAGCTGCTAATCTCAGATAGGATCTGCAATAATCAGGCAATAATACTCAGCTGTTATGAGGTACAGTGATCTGATTCCTGTGTCTCCTCGCTTTCCTTTCGTAGGTATATTTAATTCTCCAAGGCAGCCAACAAATGATTTATATTCAAAACCAACACGTCTCTCTCATCCTAACACACAAGGGCCACATGCAATGCAGTAAACATGATTCACATTTCTCTCGTCATTTAAATTTAGACAATGCAGTGAGCAGCTGACACCATGGCATTCTAACACGTTCCCAGCAAGGAACAAAGGTATGAATTATTTATCGCGCAATCCCAACAATTTCCCATCAAGCGTGGTCTTGGTCTGTGGAAAAGTAGCCACAGCCATCGATTAAGTGGAGTTTCGTTACTTAAACCTGTGACAGTCGATTGCCCTGTGTGTCCTCAACACTGCCCCTAAGTTCTTTTGCAACTGTACCCACGTTTTGGTGACGGGGCGTTGACTTTATGAGATGCAATGAAGAAAATCTCATGTTCAGCTGCTAGGAGCCATTATTAATACCTGTCAGTGTAGCTTGAAATAGTGCAGTGAAAAATATCATAAACAGTTGGCTCTGACCGAGGTTTTCCACTTGAAATGTTTACGAAAGTCACTTACCATTAGAGTAACCACGCTGATTCTCTGCTGAACCTGATTTGAACTTACTTCCAGCTGTAATCTGGGGATAATAAACAATAAAGCACAATGCTCATTATTTGTATGTTGCTGCATTCAATTATCAGACAAATACCCTCTTTGATGGAACTGTTCCCCTTTTGACCAAAATGGTTCTCTCCATTTGTCATTGTTGCGCTTTGATTCATACCTGAATATGAGGTTTAAAGCCACATGGGATGTCAAGATTTGCAAGATTCACAAAGGATTTATAAAGCGTGAGGATTCAAATTTGCGTTAAGACAACCTGCTCACAACCAAGTTCAGTTGCTAGATATATGAAGTCAGATTGTGGCCAAAAATGTCAGTGAATATAGAAGTATTCTATATTTAGTAGTAAATAGTGATTATTATGCACTAATGCAATACAATACACAATTAGACTGTACCTTTCCTGTCAGGAGAACACTCCATGGCGCTTAACAAACCTGGCTTCACAACTGATTTGGAGGTAGGAGCTGAGGTGGGTGGGCATGGGAAAGATGACAAAAAGCGAGGTCAAAAAAGTAGGTCATGAGATGGACCTTGAAAGAGGTGAGGGAGGTAGCAATTCAGACGGACTCCAGGATGGATGGACTCTTGAATGTCTACACTGAACTAGTACATGATATGAACAGATACCTGCGTGTGCACTCACCTTAAAACAGACTCCACCACTTAAATAATAGGCCGTCCATAGAGAATTAAAGACTCACAGTGTCATTGTTATTTAAGCAGTGGGAGTTGTTCCCTCCATGTTATCATGGAGTCAATATTGACAGGAAGACACCAAGGGAGACAGCAGCTAAATAGTTGCCTTCCAAAGATGACTAGCAAGAAAGGGTAGCAGTGGAGACTCAAGCTGTGAATTCTCAACCTGTTCTCTGAATCAGAGTAAATATAACATCTGAGACACTATACTCGGTCATTTTAAAAAAAGTTTTAAAATTTGTCCTTATACCACATTCCAACTTCCTGTTGACCCTCGATTCCAGCTCTTACTCATTCACATTATATCTTTCAAACGAGAGTTGGAATTTTACTTTGTTTTGAGGTGTTACTGAACCTGTGTGACAATTCCAGTGTAATATTCAACCAGTACTCGAGTGTTTTGTTCAGTCAACCTGCGGGTTCAACATTTACACGTACTGCAAATGTTAAACATATTGTAATGAAAAAGTAAGGTTGCAGATATCTAACTCCTTGTCAATGTTAACCTTAGATGGAGTGGCTGACTTTTCATTGGGAGAATCTGTTTTATTTTCCCATAGGTTACGTTTGCTGGATACATCCCCTGGCTTCACATCCTGGAATCAGAAAGATAAAAAAAAAACTTGTGAGTAGTTTTTATTACATATTGAGGCAAGGAATGTTACAGTTCAATACAATGAGTTGCCAATGTAAGAAGGACACTATGGCACTTAAATAGCACTGGTGCAAGGTGACAGTGGGAGGAACTCAGCACAAACTATCAACCTGCATTCAGTTTGCGTGATGAGCAGAGGACAGAGAACAAAGCGGTGTTCGTCAAGCACATACAGTGCACGACTGCTGAAGGGATTTTATTATCTCTGAGAGGAAGTTTGAGAATAGACTGACTTCCATGTCAATGAGTTTTTGCTATCGATAATCTTCATTTCTATTGTTAAAGTGGTGATCCTTAGAACACGAGTTACTGTGGTAAAGAATGGGCATTCTGCACAGTTGATGTCACCGCCACAAACACGATTCGTAAACCATATAAAAGGTTGGAATTATATAGGTGGTAATGACCCTTGTTAAATTCCTACAATTCTCTCTAAACTATCAGGGATATAAAAGAATGTCTGTTTGTAGCTGTGGGCCTGGAGATAAAGAATAACAAGAAAAGAATCAATGCAAGATTACCTGATTGATTATTCACTAGAATCGTTGAGCACCAGGAAGTAGAGAAGAGAAGGACAGAAGGAGACACTATGCCAACCAGATAGAAATAAATGAGGTATGAAGAAAGGAAGTGGAGGAATCAACTGGGCAAGAGAACAGGAAAGGTAAACGGTTATTAACTTCATATGAGTTCTTCAGATTAGTGCAGCCAAGTTGAAAAGGACGACAGAGATTGTGTTAAGTCAATATATTCGAAACAATGGGAAAACAAGTTAAGGATGTGATGGAAACTTCTAAGTGTTTTAAATTGTAATGGCGTGTGAGAGCTCCCTCCTGTGGATATGGTACCTTTTGCAACACACTTGAGGACAAGAGGTTTCATGATTGTATTTAAATAGTACTCATTACTGCTGTAAATTGATTGAAAATAAATAATGTTTTTAATTGCTATTTTTCCACGATGGACTGAAAGGTCACTGCTCATATATAAACTGCCTTCATCACCGCCCACCAACTATTATCAGCTGGCAGCGAGTCTAGCTGTCTGCCAAGCTTTCCCACTGCTTGTCCAGCTCGGAACACCGTACCCATTTGGGCTTTGAAATAAATGGGAAAACGCGTCTTTTAATGAGTCTAAAGGGTTGAAGACAGCAGGTAACACAGGGATTCCCCATAGCGGGTACAAGTTAGAACCTCACCTGAACAAGCAAAAGGATTTCCCTTTTTTTAAAAAAAAATTAGTTCAAGGCTGTCATAGAACAAATACCAACAGCGATGCTCAAGGAAGAAAATAAATGAAGCTTTGCAGTGTGCTCAATTACCATTGCTTTACCTAAAGAACAGTAGTATGTTGACTACAAGCTTACCGCCATCAGTATATAAAGATTGATCTGCTAGCTGGTACATAATTTATATATACCTGATAAACACACAGTAATGCATCAGATGTGAGATTGATGTCGGCTAATCTTTCTAATCTTTCAGCTGTAGTTTTGTGAAAAACGGAATGTTTCAGTGACACATTTTTCACCTATTACCCCGTACAGTAATATGTGTCAGAGATATGTAAAAAAAACACTAGAACATCCCATTTTTGTATCTTCTGGTATTGGACTTTCAAGAAATAAAAAGTATTCTCCAAGACTTAGTTCTGAGACTATCCTGTATGTGAACTAAACTATCTATATCACATTGAAATATACAATGGAAATATAGGGAGAGATATTCCACTTTCGGTTAAATACAGTAGGAGTTTGAGGATGTCTACTTAGAACTACAGCATCAACGTCTCTACATTTAACAACAAGAGGAATTTCTCCCCATTAACATACAGAATTCAATATTTCACTTGTTTTATTTACGCACACTTCTGGATAAAACCAGCATGATCCCATTGAATTGTACTATATGGAAATTAACATTGATATAATATAATACATACAAAAATAGTATGCATATCAGTGTTGTAATTCGTTTTCCTAAGTGCTTGGTAAAATTTACAGTATAGACACAGCAAAATGTTAACTTATTTTCATACTCCTTCATGGATCCTTATTGCAAGGGGCAAATCTGTCCTCGGCCCTCACATTATTACCCACAGAGGAGAAATTGTTGAAAACCGTCCAACAAAAATGACGATTTCTTCTTGTGTTTCACAGTTAAAAATGAAATTTCTGAGTGTTAAGTAATATATTGTCCAGGCAAACCCATGGGGCCTCTTCTTATAAATTGTTATCCTTTCCCTATTTATTTTAATGAGTTTCTTCTCCTTTTCTTGAGCCCCTGTGTAACCATATGTACCATTCCCTCCCTGCTAAGGCGGATCTGATTCTGGTCTCACTCAGTGTCTTTTGTGATCCATCTTCTAAGGACTGCGTAAAAGTGGTCATGTGTGACTGACTTCTGAATTTTCTTTGCACTCAGGCCCACTTTGGTACCATACCCTGCTGGCATGAAAGAGTTTGGAAGCTCACCATTAGGAGCATATATCTGCCCACTTAGTGGAAGAGTGTACCAGAGTAGTGGTGAACTGCACCACCACACTATCGCTGGCTCTAGAGAAGATTGCTGTTGTGATGAAAGGTTTGTTAAAACAGACTTTGCAACAAAGATATATTACATGATAAATGGCCCTGAGTGATAATCCAGTATAATAGCGTCTATTACAAATCTACCGAAAATACTCATCAATAACAAAAACTCATCCACCTCGTGTCTTAAAGTGTAACATAGGGCATAAATTGTGATAACCATTCATCAAGCAGTGTAGTGTGTTTGGTAGCAGACAATGCTCAACTCACAACAAAGCTCACAAATTAAAGCAAATGCATTGTGATAGTGCAGTGCTAGTAAATCTAAACACTGGGACTAACAGTCCATGCAAAATAGATGGGAAATACACTGCGATCAATTTCATTAATACACATTGATTTGAATTATAAGTTATGGAACATTTCTTCTTTCACATTCCTTAAACCAACACAGGCTGGCAGACTGCAAAGAAAACCAAGCACAAAAGGTATTTAGATTTTATTCCGGTTGTTTGTGTTTGCAAATTCAATGGGAAGAGCCAGTTCATTAGCCCCTAAAGATATGTTTCTTTTTAATAACATGCTTCTTGTTTGATCTTCTCTCGCGGTTAACCCTTCCTCAAATTCATGTTATTTCCGTCAAGCAAGATAGTATAGGCTAGGCATATTGAGCACTTCCCTATGCAGTAACCTTGGTATACCTTTTGGAAGATATGCTTATGCCAGAAAAGGTCATGTACAGCACAGCCAGGTTTGGCTTACCCATCGAGCAACTTGGTTAAGACGGCAAAAATGACTGCAAAGCTGTTCCCCAGGGGGAAGCCCAAATCATCATTCCATTCAGGCTATGTTTAAACCTTGGATCACACAACTAGGAGGTCACCACTCTTGCAGCATAGCTTCCAGGCTGGCTTAAGGTAAGAGATTTCAGAAAAGCATTGAAGAGGTGGCTGACTTACTGAAGCTTTAGATGCAGGTGATTTGTTTGTTTCAGGAGTTTTGTTAAGCCATTGGTTGATGCGACCAGCAACCCCCACTTTCAGGCCTGCTACCTCCTACAGGGATAGCCATAAACACAAGCTTTTGAACCTTGATATCACTCTAAATGCAATATTAAAATATATCCCCAAAAGGACTGTCAGCATCACAAAATTGGCATTTTAACACATTTCAACACATAATCTGTTTCACTCATAATTAATGGGAATATATTGGGCTACACCTGACCTAATACATTTTTTCCAACACAATTAAGCTGACATCAGCAAGGTACAATATTATCACAGGACTATGAAAGGGGTGTTGTGGTCAGGAAATCCATGGGCACCAAAAATGAACGGTTTAGCTCGAATGAAAGACAACCATAGGATTCTATCACAACAGTTGACAGTGAAAATATTCACTTTAGAAGCATGTTCAAAACGCTGATCTTTGTGTTGGTGAGTTTTCCATCAAGTACGTCCATTTAAAACAGTTCCAGAATATAATCATTTGCAAAAACTCCCAAACTCCAGTTTTGCTCCAATCACAGTTACCTTTCTAGTTGCTGTAGATTGTACATTAAACACACCTGGTCATGTAATGCAGATGTTCCTGATGACAATGCCCCTTGAACCAAACTATTTCTATTTGGCTCTACTTAGAACAAATTGTAAAAACCCTCAACAATTCTACCCAATGAGTCTATTCGATAGTTGTGCCCACAAGTTACTCTCTTATAGTTATACTTTGATTGTATTCATCACATGATTTATATATTTTTTTAACATTGCTGATGGTTTATTTTCCGATGTCCATTCTGAATGTGTAAAATAACCGAAATCTGAAAAAGTCTCTCAATTTTTGTTAAATATAATCCAAAAAAAATATTTTCTGCATGTTTAATATCGAATTAGATCTACACATCGTTTAAATTTAGGATACTGATGAATCTTGCATCCCTATGTCTGTTCATCCCAAAGTCAGTGTTAAGATCACTGATCAGGAATCGCACAGGGGATCTAAGTTTTTACTAATGCTGTGCTTTTTGCAGGAATAAGTCACAAAAACCTGGATTTAACAGAATGATTGAGAAGGGGATTTGGCTGAGAATCCCACTGGGGGTATGGAGTTCCGCAGGAAGTACTTTGAGCAGCACTTAAAGGTTGTCTCCACGACAGGAGAAACGTACTGGATCCAAATCGATTTCACTGTGTTCTTAAGTGGACAATCCCAGAGGCTTCAATGGATCATAATTAATGTCACACAACTGTCTCCTTAATAACCTAAAAACACACTTGATTTTCCTAAGTACATTTACCATTCTTTAAATGCTCTTAACCAATGTAATGAGAAGGAAATATAAATCAGACTCCCTGTGACTCCACAATACTCTACCAGCAATATAAATATTGTATATAAGATCTGAGGTCTGATATCCTCATTGCCTTAGGACCTGACTATCTTGCCTTGAAATTTAGGATTGGGCATTCTTGTGGACAATCCTTAAATTCAGTCTTAACTTGAACTCTGGTTCTTCTTAGTGGAAAAATAATTCCTAAATTATTTGCAGAAAATAAGAATTTTCCGTAGATCTGAGTGATCTTAAATTTTCAGTCAAATGGTCTTGCAAGTCAAGACTAGGTAGAATTTTGGCCTCTGAGATATTAATGGTTAATAATTTAATGAAAAGGATTAGAAATATTTATCCGAGGTCTCATCCAATTGTTAATGTTCACTTATAAGAGGCAGCAATTGTATTTTTCCTGTCTTTCAATGTGAATCAAATCTTGTCTTATTTATATTTTTCATCAGCTTTGCTTATCAATTTGTGTTTGGTTTACCTAAAACACCTCAGATAGAAATGTAGCACGTATAATCCCCATAACATTCAATAGACAAGTCTTACAAAGAACAATATGTGGCATCCAGCAAGTCTTGTTACATTTAACTCTTTAACCCACAGAGAATTTTAATTAAAAATGGTTGTTTTTTTTGCATTACACTGCTCAGTCCATATCAATCTGGGATCACTTTTATTTTACAGGAATGAGATTGAAGATGGAGACTGTAATTTTTATTGCATTCCTATTATAGTAATAATGATCCTTGCATTTGATAAAGAACCTTATCATGTCTTCAAGACATCTCAAAGCGCTTCACAGAATATACTGTAAAGTGGACCAAATTATTATTATTTTTTAAGAGATCATTATTGTATTTATTGTCAACTGGAAAGCAGGAAAAAATGCGAGCAACTGTGTAAATTTGAAATGCATCACTTTTTTCTCAAAGGGTTGCTCAAAAAATATATATCTGTAGATTAATGAGAAATGATTAATGAGTCTGATTGACCAGAGATATATGACCAAGGGAGTACTGACAGTGTCAAAAAATTTATTTCTGCAGGATAAAGAGTTAAAAATAAGATTCATATCAAATACAAACAGGCTGTGCAAAAAAGTCTGTGAGCAGCTTCATGCAAGTGTTCAGCATATTAATATGACACTGGATTGTGTCAATGTGTTGGCCTACTTACACTGTAACAGTCCAGTTTGGGCAGGAGGTTTATACGGAGACACCTTACCTTGTTTGGGGTACCCTTATTACTCGGAGAACCATAAACATCTCCAGTTTCCCACATGCTCTTTATGTTTCGCACTCCATCAGCTGTCAATGGGAGATCGGAAGCTGACGATTTGCCCCCCTTTGCAGCTTTGGCACCCTAAAACATGGATCAAATAATCAATCTGGTTCTGGTTCTCTTTGTAAAAATCGAAGCAACATTTCTAGAAATGATTAGCTGCTATCTGTAACGTTGAATAATGTGAATCCATTAAAAATGACTCCTCTGGGAAATAAGTCACAGATTTATTTGGGTAACTGTTCTGAACACTCACCTGAATTGCACTGGTATACTGTTCCAGTTTACTGTCAATCTTGGATACACCCAACAGTGGGCGAGTAGTCTTAATACTAGTGCTGTGGATACAATAGAAGATGTGACATTAATCTCCTGACTAACAAGTGAGCACAATAGGAAGGAAATGGTAAACGAGGGAATGTGCTTAACGTTTACCTCTTTTTTGCTGATTTATTCAAAAATTCTGCTCTTTCACCAATCTGAAAACAAAATGTATAAGAAGTCAGTGATTCAGGTCAAAGCGACAAGACCCAAATGCAAAATATAATTTGCACACCGAAGACACTCCATAACAGCCAGCAAGCTTACATCTCTGATCAGATTCAACACTACCATTATTTGGGGGAATTTATTGCATTTCTGTGTTTAGTCTATTAGGATCTTTACCATAGAAAAGTTTCAGAGAGAAGCAGCCCCAAGTGTAGTATCTCTTACTCTGAATCTTAAAAGAGACAAGCTCATTGCAAAGACTCATATCATTTGCTCCACCTAACCATCCAGGATATGGCAGAATGACAAGAAGTGAAATTAATTACAATAAAGTCCTGAACCCACTTTTCTCAGGCTGTACTTTTGGAGTAGGATATAGATACAATCATTTCCATTCCAGATCAATCTCCATTTGCCATTTGCAATGCTTCTGCCATTGAGAGTGTACAGGCACGACACTGAAATAATTCACAGAGATATAAATCTTGTGCTGGTTGCAATACTGAAAAGGAGCGATTACTAGAACAAATACACACTATCTTTTGCTGTAAAAAGAACAAATAAATCTTTTTTATTTTTCCAGCAGCACGATACAGCAGTCCAAATTGAAACTAAGATAAAATGGGACTTATTGCCTAACGGTGGTCAATTTCAATTGTACTTATCTGGGATTCAATTTCTATAGCTTCCAAAGTAGGGCATAAGTATGGTGCATTTTTGTCTCATCAATTTCCTGTTGTTTAATATTTTCTCAGATGAGATAAATTTGCTTCTTGCCTCTGGGATGGGCACTGCTGTGCTGAAATCCAGGTTTTGCCCATCACAAAGGCAAGACAACATGCAGCGTAACCAAACCACACATTGTAGTAAATGATCCTCACTGGAAAGATCAGAAATATTTTCACAGGGAGGCTTCACGAGCTCATTGCTACACTTGGGAAAGATTGACTGTAGGCATTTCAGCACACTCTTCCATCAAATGATCAGTCAAACAACTCAACCGTGCAAGTTTTGAGGTGTCGTTGATTTTGTTTCATTAATTCCGCAAAAGATCGTGAAAGTTTAATATGAACGCAAAAGCATATCTGAATTACAACTGGAATATCTCTCAGTGCCTGGAGGTGATGCTGCTGCTGTGATTGAAGCAGTTTACTGTTCATGGCAGTGTCACATGTAGGCATTTTGTAACGCAACAGGAATTGCAAGTTATTGTAATGTAAGTATTGTATTGCATGTTGCTTGTACGGCATGGACTAATTCAAAGAAATCTGAAAAATATCACTGCCACAAATTTATTTTAATTAAAATGTCATAAAAATTTAACTGATTGATATTTCGGTCAATTTGCACTTCCGCCAAATGAGATTCATTAGACACCAGAAATAGTTGAGTTATTTGAAACCTTAGATGACTGTAAAGCCCTCTCATATCCATTTGATATCTATATACTGAAGATAAAACCAAGTGTGATATAGCTTGAAGCCGTATGGTGTGATGAAAATTAAAGATCTGTTTTCCGAGTGAGTAACATTACATCAAATGAAAAATACAAGACTTTGTTTAATGAATTTCATTAGCCCTGTTCACATAACAAGACCTACTTGTTGGTGAAAAGCTTTAGATGAAATAGGCCCCACTTAATACATGTTAAGTTTACAAAGGTGCATTGTAAGCACCACATCAGGTGAGTGATCAATATTACAGCGCTCACAAATACTGAAATTGGCATTTTGTGAACAAGAATGACTGGCTCCGGCCTGTTAGACTCGTTACCGAGCCATTTGCCACCATTTTTCTTCTCTTGTTAATGTGGCGAGAAAGAATGAAATCAGTCTTGTGTACAAATAGAATAAATAAGAACAAAAGAAACGCACAGCAAATCAAAAAGTGATTGTATCCTGAAAAGGCTACATCGAACACAGGCAGACACATACGGTAAACAGGATGCACATGTACCGGCAGATCTGTAATAGATTCCAGAATGAAGGAAACATGTAAGCAACTGATGATAGTTACTCTTCAAGGCGTTCTGTTCTGATACTTTACCTTCAAACATAACAGCGAGTTTCTGTGGTGTCTCAGAGACTGAGATGAATTAGCAACCATCATTTCTACGATGCTGAAAGCTCCACTCTCTGAAATTTCCCCTCTCCACCTCTCCCCTCAGAATAACAAACTTCAGTCACAGATCCAAACATATAATATGTTCAAGTAATAATAATAATAATAATCCTTGCATTTCATATAGCGCTTTTCATGCCTTCTAGACGTCCCAGAGCGCTTCACAGAATATACTGTAAAGTGAATTGACTCTATATTTGTGGGCGAACGCGGCAGCCAATTGCGCACAGCAATGTCCCAAATTGTTTTTTTTTTGGAGGGCTTGTTATTAGTAATATAACAAGTAATTGTTCAATACAAAACTTATACAAATTATACTGCACAATTTTTAAAAATCAAATACCATTAGAGAATTGAATTCATATCACATGATGTTATTTTTATTCTCCAATCCCTTCCCCTGCAAATCCAGCAGCAATCAAGTACCCTGGTTAATTTTTTCCTCCTTGATTAAGATTGCGGAGAGGAATTGATCTCAGATGAGGCTTGACCCCAGATGAAGCCTCATTTGAGATCAGCTAACTCATTACAGACTGGAGATCGAGCCCGGGTCCTTCCCGATCTGTATCTCACCTGCTGAGCTATCAAACGAACTTTAACACTTAATTCCTTAAGATAATAACAAAAATACGATGCAGTATTTCTCCGACAAAACACACACATGTCGTGCTTTTCTAAAATACACAGTCACTACACTTCATAGTAAATCCTGTGAAGCGCTTTGAAACGTCCTCCCGACATAACTCGGAGCGTGTCATACGAAAGTCACAAGAGATGAAGAGAAACAAGCAGAGGACTCCATAGAATTAATGGCTTAATATCTGCAAAAATACATTTAAATTATTTTTTTTAAAAACTCACAGAAATAGCAAAAAAAACTGCCCGTCTTTTTTTTTGTAATGCTGGTCCTTTTATAGTCTTTTTCACAGTAATGTTTCTGTCATTTTGTTAGGTTCTTATTAACTGCTCATTGTGAGATAATTAAACATCTGGCTCTACATTTTCCCTGATCGGTAATTTAAATTTCACAAGAGTTGGGGAGTGTACGGAGATCCTCAGAGGGAAATGAGCAATTTATCCAATGTCCATCAATCAGGCAGACGTCACACTCAATAGCTTTCACAATAACCCTGACAATAACAGAGAGACATTTCTCCCCAAAGGATATCTTCTGAACCACATGTGATACTTTATATTTGAAATCGACCACATGTAATAATTAACTATGTGTAATGCTTTCTTTGAAACTAACCATGTGTTGTATACTTTACTCGAAATTGTTCTTGTGGATATTATCAAAAACAGAAAGCAAATATCTTTTGTAGTACAGTTAAGCAACATATAAAGAAACAAATATAGGTGAGTGAGTACGTACTTTGAGAGAGGAGCCACGAGGAGTGACACATTTGAAGGGCTCCTTATCATCTGCTGCCTCAAGTTCTTCTGGTTTATAACGTTTCTCTGCTGCCTCCGCTCTCCGTTTCTCAATGTCTTCTTTCAGCTTCCTCTTCTCCTCCTTAGGACAAGGTTTATATATTAATCTTGACCACAAGAACGCATTCTTTTGACACAAATAAAGACTGACAAACCGAGAACTGGATTGAAGCGGAGCAACGATGAATGGAAGATCAAAGGCGCAAGCGAGCAATGATTAATACACACCTGGATAAAAGACAAACCATAAATATATATTGTTAATTGCTCACAGTTTCAATTCACAGTGAAACTTGGAAGAACAATTTGCAGACAGCTACTTGCAGGCTCATGTCACTGTGTATGAGTCAATTATATTCGTGTCACTGGGAGCAGCACATCCATTTCCAAGTCTAATCACTCACATCGTCAGTGTGATCAACATACCTGTTCTCACAGGCACCACTGTCTCCTTTTTTTTAAAAAAAGGAAGATTTTTGGTACAAATACCTGTAATTAGATTTACTTAACATCAGATAAGGCCGCTTTATCCTAAAGCTGAAATCTTTCAATGACATTGAAACAACACCGACACCTTGCATTTATATCGTGCAGGGCAGTGTCTCACAGCGTTAGTTCTCTGGTGTTTTTGCCGTTCCCTTTTGAATGTTTCTGTTGCCTCAAAAGCCACTGTGGAGGTAAGTTCCTCTTCCTAACAACCCTCTGAGTGGAGAAAGTCCATCTAAACCCATCCCTATTGCCGTTCTCCTAACCCCACATTACGCGTTTGGTTGAGTGTGCAATAAATCTTTTGGATGTCACGGTGTTAAGCCCTGAAGCTTGTCTGTCAGCATTATCACATATGAATGTTGTCCTTTTAATCCCGACAAAGAGAGTGAACAAATGTGCGCTCATTCCCTCTCCTGAAGGCGCTGACTCATGTAATTATTGCTACACAGGTGTTGCCAGTCTCTTGTGCCTTGTCAAAGTGGTATTTCTTCATACGCAAGTCTAGACACCGAGCACAGGCAGTCTTTGTAACCAACACATCAAACTCTGTCCTCCCTCACACCTGCACATACACACAGCAGTTCACTGGGCAGTGATCAGGAGCAGCTTCACCTTGTGATTTCACTTGCCTTCCAGCCGCGTCACATGAAGGTCACCTTTGGTGCTCTTAATTGCTGCTTCAACTGAGTTTGGTTAGCACAGGAACAACAACTTGCAGTTATACAGCACTCTTCGGAAAGAATAAAGTCTCAGAGGGCTTTACAGTGGCGAAGGCAGACACTGAGCAGGGAGGGAGGTGAGGCTTTGGGGCGGGGGAAGCTTTAAGAACAATCCAACAATCTCAGTTAAACCTTCGTAAGACCTTCTTGGTGTACGTAGCTTAGTAAAACACCAGCCGGTATTTGCTCATTGAGCTGGAGACATCCTTCACAATATTCACATGGGCCATGTTTACGATCTGGAATGCACTGCCTGAAAGGATGGTGGCAGCAGATTCGATAGTAACTTTCAAAAGTGAATTGGATAGGTATTTTAAAAGGAAACATTTGCAGGGCTATGGGGTAAGGAGCGGGGGAGTGGGACTAGGTGGGTAGCTCCTTCAAAGAACCGACACAGGTGCGATGGGCCGAATGGCCTCCTTCTGTGCTGTAAGATTCTCCGATCCCATTTCTATCCTCACCTCTTCTCTGGCTTTCTTTTCAGACTCCTCCTGTAGCCTCTTCTGTTCTTCTTCTTCCCGGACCTTCTTGCGACCTTCCCGCTTCTTCTTCAGCTCCTCCAGCTCCACAGCCGCCTCCTGCTGTTTTATTCTCATTTTCTCGAACTCTTCGTTCTCCTTCTCACCCTGTCGTCGTCGTAGCTCCTCCAGCTTCTGCTCGGCCTCAAGCCGAGCTGCCTCGGTTTCCTCTAGCTCGTGGGTAGCCTTGGAATCTGAGCGGCTGCACTCCCTCACCAAAAGAAAAAAAAAGAAGCTATGAAGCAAAACATCGTCTCAAGGCTCTGGACAGTCAGGGGTTTGGACCCAAGCTGGGAGTTGGGATCAGAAGGGGTGGAGGGCAGCGAGGGTAGGGTCAGGAAGGTGACCGAAGGCACGGTCGAAGAGGAGGGTCTTGAGATGTGCCTTGAAGGATAGGGGGTGATGTGGAGGAACTGTGGGATGGAGTTCCAAAGGGTGGGGGCAGAAATCAAGTCGAAACAGACCACTTTAAACTGGTCCTTCACATATTGCTGAAACTCATTCATGTGTTAGCAAATGTCACACTCACAGATCACGACAACCACAACTAGCATTTATATAGTTAGCGCCAAGGTCCATCCAATCCATCCATATAGCGGTGATCAGATCTATTATATTGCTATTGTTATTGCCACCCATATGGTACAGTACAGAATCGCTATAGCAGTAGACAGGATATCAAACCGGCTGTTCTCATCAAATTCCAGAACTTCAGAGGCCAGTGCATTGAAAATGGATGTAATATTTCTCTATTACCTCAAATTTCTTTCCATTTTTTTATGTTTGTGCTGAATCTCTTCGTGGAGAGCCTCTCCGTTCTCTGGGCCCTGCTTTGACACTTTTTCCTCCGTGTACTGAACAACCTCTTCATTCCACACTTGGCTCGTCTGGAAAATCGCAGAACAGAACAAAATAAGGTAGAAAGAAAATGGATATTACTGTACTTTCATTTGTTTCTTTTTGCCTTATGACCGAAGATGGATTTGATAATAATGGTAGTATCAATGGATGATGATAAGCAATTCTCACATGAACTTATGAAACATTACAAGGTCATATTTGCAATCAGAAAATCTATTCAGGAATCTTCAATTACCAAAAACAGTGCAATATCAAGTTTTAGCAAATCTGGTTATTTCACATATAGTCATTGGCCTACGCCTTCTTTTTTTTTATCTCGTCTCTTACCATTTTCAACATTTATGAATTCCTACAGTAGTAAGCTTGGCCCTTGACATGTTCTAACCCTTCCATGATACCCACTCTACCAACCTCTCCAAAGCACTTTAACTTAAAATGTCGAAGCAATATTAAAGGGAATTGCTCTGATAAGGGCACTTTTGTATTGGTTAAGTAACTCGCAAGAGTTTCACTTTACATAAATCCATATAAAAATGTAGAAAAAAGAGAAAGGCATTAAAGCCCATTCAATCCAAGTCCTTTTCAGAACCTAAGCTGACTAGTTTTCATTTATAACTTACTAACTCAAATCTTTATCCATTTGCCCTTTGCTGTCTGAGGAACTGATCAAATTCCCTTCTGAATACTTCATGGAATCAGTCTTTACATCAGGGGCCACAGTCTATTGTATTATCTATAAGTCAATACATTCTAAAGATTTGGAGTACATAGAACATTTGGTTCAGGTGGGAAAAATTATCAGAGATTTTAAAGACTTGATTTTGAATAAACAGGAGAAGGAAACCTATCTCTGGATCGAACTGAAATATTCATAACTGACAGATTATTAAACTGGCCCCAGCTCAGTTAAATATTATCTTTGGAGCCAAGAGGCTTTTCACTTCAGAGTTGGAGTCACTCAGTGGATATATGCAGATCTTCCTAAAACATTTGTTGCTTTTATTGAGAACCTGGGTGGAAGGTGAATTGTATTACAATTTGTTCAGCCAATTCTGATGAAAGGTCATCGACCTGAAACCTTAACCCACTTTCCTCTCTTCATAGATGCTGCCTGACCTGCTGAGAGTTCCCAGCGACTTCTGTTTTTTTTATTTCCGATTTCCAGCATCTGCAGGATTTTGCCTTTTGTTTCTCCTTTTGAGTTCTGGATCGTGTATTCTCATTCCTGGTGTGAGGACGTAGAGTCAAGACACCTCACAGTAAAATCATGTGAAGTACTTTGAGACATTTTGACACCGTAATAAGGCCTTTTGTGAAATGCAAGGTTCATTATTAATAATATGTAGTAATAATAATAATCCTTGCATTTGATATAGTGCCTTATCATGTCTTTGAGACACCTCAAAGTGCTTCACCGAATAATCTGCTAAGTGAATTGACCGTATACTTTGTGGGCGAAACGTAGGAAAAATGCAGCATCAATGTGCCACAAAAAACAATGAGATCAATAACAAATTATCATGTTGAATCACTAACCATCTGTGCTCAGTTATCAGGATAGCGAGCTGATGGATTCTTTATCATGCTGCTCTGATGTTTTTTATGGCGCAGCACCAATAGTAATAATAAGACACCATACCCATTGCACAAGATCAAAAACAGAATTTAATTAAGAAAAGAGTACTGCAAACAGAATCTAAACCCGCATAACAAAATCTGTTTGAGCTTTATATTTCTAAGAGTTTACTAACTCCTGCACGGATCTGGAAAGAAAATGATTTAGGACAAGCATTTCTGGTTGACTATTTGTGGGACTGCTGTACGCGATTGGCTGCTGTGTTTCACCCATAAAATACAGTCAATTAACTTTCTGGTTTATTCTGTGAAGCGCTTTGAGACATCTCAACGATGTGATAATCAAATGCGATTATTATTATTATAATTGAAGGAATATGAACTTCAACTGAAGCCGGAGCAATAATCCCCCTGAATTAAATTGATTTATCTTTTTCAAAATAAAAGATTATTACAAATCTAGCTCCTATGTTAATTTGTTTATGGAATGACATGTTGGAGAATAGGGAAGCCTATGAAACAATTTGTCTATTTTAATTACCGCTATAACGTATACTAATATTTGGAGAAATAAATAAGACACTACACTCATAACTGCTTTAAATTTAAACTTGTGCAGCTACTCAAGTGAATCCCTCCAATGGAAAAAACATTCATCACCTGATAAAATTAAGATTTGAAGAGAACAACAACAACTTGCATTTATATAGCATCCTTCACTTGGAGTAGGATCCTGGTGCGCTCGAAGAAACAGAATACTGGAATTGGATTCCAATATTTTTTCACTGGAGCAAACTATTTACCTTTTTGTAAGAAATTTCAGGCTTGTCTTCTACAGTCTCCACTTTCTCTACTTCACGTACTGGTTCAACTTCCACTTCGGGTTCAGGTTCTGGTTCAGCCTCTGGTTCAGGCTCTGGCTCCGGTTCTGCTTCCTGTTGCCATTCATTGCGCTGCTCGCTCTTCTCTTCCTCCTCCTCCTCTTCCTCCTCCACCTCCTCCTCTCTCTCATTCCTTTCAGGTTCCTTCAAAGTGTCTTCTGTTACTGTCGGGTCAAAATATTTCTGCCTCTCCATGGTCTCCTGTTGACGCCTTTGACGTCTCTCCTCACGCTTTGCCAACTTATCGATAACATCATCCTCATCATCCACCAAGGTCTCAGTTCTTGTAACTTTGGTCTCCTCTTCCACTGCACTGTATTGGAAAGGGATTGATTGTCAGCTGATTCAGATTATTACCACCTTTGCGTTTATACCACGTAAAAGCCTCTGGAAAGACGCAAAGACCCCAATTTATTTACGGAAAACAAAACTGAGGTGGGCATCTGAGCGGAGTACCAGAGAGTTGAATCCAGATACCCCGTGGTCTATGGGGACATGGAGAAGAGCCCCCCACCCCGAACATTTGCATGAGTCTAGTAAGCCCCTGTTCGTTCTGTACAGCGTCCAGAAAATGCATTAAAATAACAAACAAAATTGAAAAATGACACTAACAATAATGTATGGTTAGTATTAGTACCAGGATTGTTCTGTGATAGACTTTATAATCTCACGTTAGAAAATGGAAAAACAAAATCATTAGTACTTGGCTCTCGCTGCACATTCTCATACTTCAAATGTCTCAGATTTAGTCACACTTTAGTTCATAATAAAAAAAAGCCAGTTGCATAAAAGGATATCCTCAATTTTTCACTGTAAATCTTCCTGGCAAATTTAAGCACTTATAGCATTCCCTGTATGATCTCAAGGTACCTTGTAATTCTGCCGAGAGCAGTCAATCTTTGACCTTTACCACAGAATGACAGAATATGGAAAAACCTATTACTGTATCACTGCCTCGAGAACTGGGTGAAGAGGAAAATTCTTAGAACAAATGGATTTTTCTCCGAGTGCAGTTCATTCCTTGAACTTAATCCCATGGAGTACGGCTGCTAATGCTACGGCTCATCTCGCTACCATGTAACATGTGCTTTTTGACTGCAACAAAAGCCGAGATATTATAGTTGGAAACAAGTTAGGAATTCATCAAATGTTTATAGCACAGAAGGAGGGTATTTGGCTCTTTGCCTGTGTTGATGCTTCCTTCCCCCACTGGCCCTATCTACTTTAAACCTATTCCCCTGTTCATATTCTTTAATGTTTTTTTCCCTCAAGTATTTAACCAAATGCTCTCATGAATTTTGTGCTGACTATATTGTTGCCACGAAACAGTTCCAGTCTCTGCTGTAGATATTCTCCAGTCCTGGAGGTAATCAACATATCACAGCATTTACATTTGCTGCAACACATTTTTTTTATATACCCAAAAATGTTTAATATTATCGGCAGGTCAGACATTCAGCCAAGTAAAACCAAAATGGTCTGACTGCAATTTTTCCCCCCAAAAAAATCCTTAGAGGCTCCTCCAGTGCTTGAGGCATTGTGCGGCTGACGTAATGACTCCAACTTATTAGAAAGGGAATTTTTTACAACACTTTTTTCGGTATATGGAGATGTTAAAGGTTGGGAGAGATGTGATGACCAAACTAGGTTTTAAATCACAACATTGAGAATGTTCAGTAATTGTGCACAAGTGTTCTGGGATGCTATCAAGTGCTCTGGGGCGCTACCCTGTGTGAGGGGCACTATATCAATGTAAGTTGTTGCTGTTGTTAATTCTTTGTTGCCATGTCCTAATTTAACTGGCACCTTCAGATCACACACCAGCTATTGTACTCCGAGAGGATTTCTGTTGTGTGGTTTTAGAAACATTGGGATGTAATTTTATAGAATAAACGCGACAATTGCTAAGAAAAATCCTTTAATCGAGAAGAATTGAGTATTTCAGGTCCTCAAAGGCAGAAAGATCTGTACAAAGTAGCATTGCTCCCCTTCAAGGTCAAAACAAAATAGTTGTGATTCAGCCTTGAGTGTAGCACCCCACTTACTTGGAGAACACCTGGCAGGTGTTTCTAAATGAATTCCTTAAATAAGGAACAGAACGCAATAGGAATCCCACTAATGTAATGCCATGCAAGCATAGACATTTCTGCACAGAAGGGGCTATTCAGCCCATGGTGAGCCATTATATAACTTTTTTTTTTAAAAAAAGGACGAATATGTGTGCGTAAGTCAATTTAATGAGTCTTGCGCAGTTGAGAGCAAATTTGAACACATTAAGTTTGATTGTCGACAAGAGGGCTAGTCCTTGTAAGGAATGTGTTGGGCTGATGGTAGACAGCGTGACAGGCAATTAAAAAATGAATAACAGGGAACACTTTCTACTAGGAGTCGGATTGTGTGCTCTGCACAGATCAAGTATTTTTGGTCAAGTATTAATAGTTGTGAATGGGAAATGATTTGGTAGAATGGAATTCTAAACTTGGATCAGAAATGTGTTTGTCTGGAATCAACCGTGCCATTTTCTTTTATGGAATCCGACTTAGAAAACTATACCTCCATCCTTTGGTTCCTACCAAAAAAAACTCTGTTACGTGATTGACAATCCATCAACTAATTCTGCATTGGTGGACAATTGGAAACCTTCACAAACTACTGTTCACTTTAACCTTTTCATCAGTGCATTACAATGCAGCAAGTTCAACAATGGTGCTTGCTGCTGCTTATTTTATTACACTATCGCATGATGACTGAACCGGATTGAAGACGTTCATTCACAGGGTACCACGCCAGTATATTACACATTACAGTGACAACTCAATTTAATTCCATGACATTGGTAATGGTTAGCCTCTGTGCCGTGTGCTTTGGACAGTGTGACGTTTTGGTGTGTTCTGAAGAGTGGAGGGAACACACGACACTCTGTTGCTATGATGAGCCTTTACCTGTTCTGGGAGTTGATTTCCACTGTCTCTTGGCCAAGTCCTGATTCACGCAGCCGTTCCTGACGGGCTCTACGACGTCGCTCTTTCGCCTGTTCTTCATCATCATCTTCTACCTGCTGAGTGGTCATTCTACACACAGAAAACAGTGTTCCTTTAACAATCCACTTACACTATACACTCTTTCTCTCTCTCTTTTGCATTGACCACACCAGGCAGTGTTCGCATCATAAAGTAAAACACTTAAATCCTAGTATTAATCTCACCCTGCATATTTAACCGATAAGCTATCTGGTTTTAGTTGGATAGATTCCAGCACTAAACCAACGTAAACTCTAGGGTCCCTGAGCCTTAGCCAACTTGCACCTAAACGCTCTGGAATTAGATAAGAAGGATAATTCCCTTCGTGGAGAAAGTGCACATTACATTCCAGACACAGGGAAATGGCCACGTATATAGGTGGCAAACATATATGAAAGTCTGAGTTGAATACTCTTAAAAATGATGGTGGTTTTCTACATGTGTCAGATACCCAGCTGATCAAAACAAAATATTGTGCCATTCCCATTGTATGAAATCCTCTTTATACTGCTCTTTTCGGGCCAAGATTGTAATGATGTTACCACACGTGCTGTACAAGTGTAGCGTAAAACTGACTTTTATACTGAAAAACGTTAAATTTATTCACCCGGAAAAAACCCTTCGCAATCAAAGGAAATCTTCGGGATGTAGCAATGAAAAACGGATTGGGTTTGAAGCTGCAGTGTGGACGTGCAAACTAGATTGTTTCCAGGAAACTAGGCCAATGCATTGAGCAACATTCACAGTGCAACCATGGTAGAAGGCACCCTCCTTAAAGGCAGGTTCCCATAGAAGGTGGGTTGTTAACTCAAACAGCAGGAATGTCACCAGAGCCACAGCAGAATTTTGTTTTGAGCAGGTGAGTGTCTGACCCTGGTGGAAACCCATCACCGTTGTTAAGGGTATCCAACCTTATTGGTTCTGACGTGGAGACTAGCTGGTTTCCTACGCACACTAAAAATGACCAACTTTCGGGTTGCTGTCAACCTCCCTTCCTGTCTGCTGCACGTACATCATATGGAGCATACAGAAAGTGATGTTGTCAGTGATTATTGTGGCTAATCGACCAGTATTGGTCACCAATGTAGCATGCGATATGTTCTTAAACAGTATAAGCAATTTGAAGGCTGACACGATTGCATAAAATGGCCACAATGCATGGAACTGAATAGCTACAAAAGCTCTGTGTTGCGTATTGTATTATATTGTTCTTACAAGACAGATATCCGTCAAAGCTTCAGTTTACTAAAAATGTTACGTATATCTAATATGTTAGAATGGAGCTCACTTGATCCCTTATGATGCTTCTTTGAACAGTCAATTTGTGAAGTTCCCTTTTGCACCATTAAAAGCCACAGAATATTTGTTAGGGGTTTTATCTCAATCCGACCAAGAGCAATATCTTGTCATCTCCATTTAAAAATCAACTATCCAATTTTCATCAATACGTGAGTACATTATTCTTGTCAGACACTGGGTTCTTTATGAATTAAGGCTATGTCTCATTCACGCATCTGGAAACATCAATGAGTCATCCCAGTATCTTTAAATCTTTATGGGATTTGCACCAAAGCTGAAAAGTGATTCCTCTCATATCTGCCTTTTTGGTTCGCTTTGAAAATAAACACGCTCAAAACTGTTAGCACATCCAAATTTGAGTGTTTTAAGGAATTTGTGTCTGACATTCAAAACCAAGATATAGTGTTTGAACGTCAAATATTTTCAAGTCCTCCAAGCCAACAGGACAAGTTCAGGTTTGTTAATATTCCTGGTGATGTGTTTTATGCAGAGGGTAATCAACAGCTAGAATCGATTACAAGATGGGTGGTTGAGGCATGGACACTGAACTCATTTAAGAAACAGCTTCATACTGCAATGGGAGGAGAGGCAGAGGGAATGATGTTCTGGAATGATGAGATTAAACAGCGTATCCAGCCCTCATGCAATCCAAGCACTACCACACGTTTATAGTAACATAGAAACAGGAGTAGGTCATTCAGCCCCTTGAGCCTGTTCTGCCATTCTATTAGATAAAACTGATCTGTACCTCAACTCCAATTACCTGCTTTTGCCCCATATCCCTTCATACCCTGACTTAACACAAAACTATCTATTATATATTGTTTAGTTGTAACTCTTATGAAATATTGCAATATTTTACATTGCCTATATATTCTTTAAATCCTAATCTTAAATAATTGATTTAAATATCTGCTACCTGGTGCAAAAAAATCACTATTTATGATTATTTGACTACCTTTTTCGCTTAATCTTCAAATGGAGACAAGTAGGTTTGCTACAGCAATTGAACAACATTATTTTATGGATGATCTCAAGTGCTTTATAGAGCTCAGCTCTTTTTTTGTGACTTATTCACTGCAATCTGTCATTACACTGTCACTTGAGAATGAAAACATCAGTTTTTCCATCTCTCATTCATTCTCCATTTTCCTTTAAGTCCATCTTGCCAGCTAAGCACTATTGTTTTGCAGCTGTTCCCACGAGGGTTTGAACCCATTGGGGCGATCTGGTGGCATCACATTTCCTCTACCCTCTCCGATAATCCCTTTAATCCAATCTTTGTGTTGTTTCCATGTGACGGGCTCCAGACTAGTCCATCAGCTGTGTGGGCTGCTCTTCAGCCCAATGTGGAGCTACCGAGATGTTCTGTTCCTCTTCAGCTCTGACTGATGTGGCTTACAGTGGTCTGTCTCTTCAACATGGTGACCTAATCCTCTTGTTTGAAGACGAGACTGCCGATGAGCTGCCTTACCATGAGAACGTTCACTCACTCACACAGCTGCACCAATGTCATCACCCGGTATTTCCCTTGAACAGGATACTCAGCTGCAATGATGCTGTGTCTCTAATAATGAATAAGCTAAAACACATTCCCCGCCCTGGAGTGTGTTAACTCCTTCACTCCTGAAAGTCGGAGGACTGGTGCTCTCTGCGTTAACACATCAGTCTGGATTTGCTTCGTGCTAACTTGAGTTAGATGTGATGGCTTTTTTGGGCAGTGTCTTTAGTTTTTGTGCATGTTTTGTGCTCTATTTGAGAAACAGACTAGAGTTCGCCTTTCTGATGGTAACATTTGTGAACATGTCTATTTCACCTGCGCACCACGCTAATGCAGCCATCCAGTTAATGTACCAGACCCGAGAGGTCACATCGCACAGGAACAATGGTGTAGTCATCAATGCTGGCCTTTCTATACATGACTGACTGGGAACAGTAAAGCGGCAAGAAACACACAATAGTGCTAGTCTTCCTGTGCAATGCTGTACATTATGTTAATAATGATGATGTAATAACCATTTCTGCCCACGTACTAATAATTCAACTCCTATTATGTTAACATTTGCAGAAACTTTGAAGATCTGAAAGGTCGACTTTAGTTACATGTTGTTAAACCTTGATTTTTTTCACATGTGAAGCATCTGCTTTACACAAGCTTTTTGTTATCAGGAGTTTAATGAAAACTTTGATCTCGGGCTGTTAGCCACAGTAGGAAATCATTGTGCTAGGTCATTCTGGTATATGATTGCTGCTTCAGGCAATGTCGATTAGTGGAAGGAAATCAATGAACAAATGAATGCCTTTGTTCTGTTCCTGTGGTAAACTCATTCTGATAAATCTGTACTACATGATCCACACATTCAGTTACAAGTGATGCGGGCACTGTTGATGAACTTTCAACCATAAATCAACATGCAGACTGTTCGTGCTATGATTCATTTATGAAGTCTACATCTGCCTGATTTCCCAATAAAGTGTATTTTACGCATCGGAATAAAACTACTACAAATATACAGTCACTACACTTTACCGTAAATCCGCATTTCAAGGCAACGTGATAAAGTGCAATATCAAAATGCAACTATTCTGATTATTACTGAAATACATTCTGTATTGCAAGTATTACTGACACTTCACTGAACAGGACCGTGAGCGAATACGATTTTGATTCAGTAAGAAATGTTTCCTTCCAACAATGTACAAAGGACTAATTATGCAACATGAGAATAGTGCACAGTAACCCAAGAAAAACTAGACAGAAAGCATCCCACTGTTTGTTTTAACAGTCCATCGAGTTTGCCCTCTGTTCTATAATGTCGGATGCTGATTACATTCAAAGGAAACTGAAGGAACAGATTTGCATTGTTCCTCATGTAAAGCATTTTGCAAGTGCTCTTCTGCTCTGGCCATTCCCACTAATAGTTAGTTACTCGGATAGTTTACAAGTGATTGGGAAAGCGGAAAGTTTGTGTTAGTTAATGAATGATAATTTCATTTGAGGCACAATCCAATTACTATTATTTTAGTCAAAGCTGAGGGCAGGCCTAGTGTATGCTCTTGCCATTTACCACATCTTTTATATAAGATGTTGATTGATACTCTGCTTTGCCGAACATCTCAATTATACTCATATAACTAAAGGTTCACCACTACATCACTCTGGCCTTGGCTACAAAATATACAGTCACTACATTCTACAGTAAATCCTGTGAAGCACTTTGAGACATTTTGATGATGTGATAAGATGCTACATCAAATGATAATAATAATCCTTGCATTTGATATAGTGCCTTATCACGTTGTTGAGACGTCTCAAAACGCTTCACAGAATATGCTTTAAAATGAATTGATTGTATATTTTGTGGACGAAACATGGCAGCCAATTGCGCACAGCAGTGTCCTATAAACAGTCATGGATTGAGTGACCAAATTATTATGTTTGGGGGGGATATCTCCCAAATTAAAGAATTATTGTTATTTATTATTATTATTCCAACTTTGCCTCATATCCTGCATCTTGGGACTCCCTCCCGACGTGAAAGGCCCCATATAAATGCAAATTATTGTTGTTGTATGCCAAGCTCAATATAAACATCAGGGATAGAATCGTTCTTGTTTTTTTTCCCATAGGGCGTGAGATTTTTAAACCTTAGCTATCTCTTCCAGTTACCCACACAATCCTTTTAAAGTAGAAATCAGAGGATGGGTTCAAGCTTCTTTGCCTGACTCAGAGACACTTCCCTTCCCTTTAC